TGGTCCGCTTCTTCAGACGATCGTGACACCACTATGGTTAAAAACACTCTAGCCCATTCTCACAGCATATCTTTCAACCACTCCCAGACCACTGTTACTCCTTCCACAACCTTCTTCACTACCTCTCTAGCTCCCTCCACTGCTGCTTGCCCCCATAACTCTGGGATAGTACAGTCACGATCCCCACATTGGAGCCATTACTGTACTACTTCATCACACGTAGCATTGGTATACATATTGTTCCTCCCAACCGAATCTAATACTTTCTGCACTTTTCCATTACACAAATCTCTCCGCCATTCTTGAACTCTACGTCCGTACAAAAGAAGATTCTCTACATACATGGCTGGGTGTTTAAATTCCCATTTTTTCCAAATTATCCAATACAAATTATTAAGCCATTCAAACGACCATTTGAAAAGCCCATCCCATAATTCACCCACTTACATAACTCCTACAAGACACCTGCCCAGTTACTATTCTAACCAATTTATTATCTTTAAATTGCTCCCATCTCTGCTGGAAGCCATTTCTTAATGGGCTTATTTCTCATCTCTTAACCCAAAACAATCCAGGCTCCCTCTGGCCCGTTCTATAACCACCTCTTTTCCTTTCTTAGACATTGTCACGAGAATTTCTATCTCAATATTTCAAAAATGAACTTATTACTCAGTCTGTATCCCAGAGGTTGTAAATCTCTAATAATCAGACCAAGTAGCCCAGCATACAATCATCAGGCTTTATTCATGTGAAATGTTCTACCCTTGAAATGGGCGCACATTCATTTTTATACACATACGTCATCAGTAAAAGAATCCCAGCCCGCATTAGGCGGGCTGTATTTTCTCATTATACACATAACAAATCATTGTCATATTCTGCAACCTGTTCCCTAATCTCCTCCAAGACCAATGGTTCTCCCCCTCCTTGAGTTGGGGGCCCACTTCCTGTTATTAGTTTCACCGTTATCACAAGTTGTCTGTAGACAGTTCTCCTTCCCCTTCATTGTCTAGCCGACCTCCTACTCATATTGCTAAACAGTAACACAATGTCCTAATCTTAACTTTGTCCTACGCACACACAATACTAGTATACAGTTTTATGATTCCAGCACATTTCACAGAATTTTCAGAGTGTAATATTTAGTCACTTCTAAATTCTGCTATCAGACATTAAGCATGGAACCAGGCCCTCCTGTGTGGAATTTTCACTATCTGAGTGTCCCATGTATCCTCTTGGCAGGTTTGTTGTGGTGCCATATTCTTTCCATTTTTTAATCATGGATTTAATGTTGCTCCGTGGGATGTTAGAAGTTTCTGATATCTTTTCATAACCCAACCCTGATCTGTACTTCTCCACAACTTTGTCTCTGACCTGTTTGGAGAGCTCCTTGGTCTTCATGGTGCCGCTTGCTTGGTGGTGCCCCTTGCTTGAGGTGTTGCAGACTCTGGGGCCTTTCAGAACAGGTGTATATATACTGAGATCATGTGACAGATCATGTGACACTTAAATAAAGTCCACTTGTGTGCAATCTAACTAATTATGTGACTTCTGAAGGTAATTGGTTGCACCAGATCTTATTTAGGGGCTTCATAGCAAAGGGGGTGAATACATATGCACGCACCACTTTTCCGTTATTTATTTTTTTGCATTTTCTGAAACAAGTTATTTTTTTCATTTCACTTCACCAATTTTGACTATTTTGTGTATGTCCATTACATGAAATCCAAATAAAAATCCATTTAAATTACAGGTTGTAATAGGAAAATAGGAAAATCGCCAAGGGGGATGAATACTTTTGCAAGGTGTAGAAGAGGTCATACCACGGACCCGCAAATATTATTTACATTTTCAACATAGGAATCACTACAAAACATATTGTATGACCTCTTCTACACTATATTAGGGCCAGCCTTTGGTTTCCCTAGATATGGCTACTATATTGTGATCTCTACATCCGATGGATTCGGATACTGCTTTAAAGCACATTTCTGCAGCATTAGTAAGATGTGATCAATACATGTTGATGATTTCATTCCTGTGCTATTTGTAACTACCCTGGTAGGTTTACTAATAACCTGAACCAGGTTGCAGGCACTGGTTACAGTTTGAAGCTTTTTCTTGAGTGGGCACCTTGATGAAAGCTAGTCAATATTTAAATCACCCGGAAAGTACAGCTCTCTGTTGTTATCACATACATTATCAAGCATTTCACACATATTATCCAGATACTGACTGTTAGCACTTGGTGGTCTATAGCAGCTTTCCACAAGAATGGGCTTTAGGTGAGGCAGATGAACCTGTAGCCATATTACTTCAACAGTATTTAACATGAGATCCTCTCTAAGCTTTACAGGAAGTTGGTTTTGAATATAAACAGCAACACCACCACCATCAGCATTTCTGTATTTTCTGTAGGTGTTATAACCATGTATTGCTACCACTGTATAATCAGAGGTATTATCGAAGTGAGTTTCAGAGATAGTCAGAATATGAATATCATCTGTTACTAGCAAGTTATTGATTTCATGAACCTTGTTTCTTAAGCTACATACGTTAATGTGTGCTATTTGTAGCACTTCTCTGGGATGCTTAATTTTTTGTATTGCTTTACTGGAAAGCTTAGCAGAAGTAGACATGCCCATGTTATTTATGTTTGAGCTGATTGTTCCGGGCCATGTCAGATTTAAGTGACCTCAGAACAGGCTAGACCGGGTTATGTTAGCCTTACACTTGATTCACTGTTTCTATACACTCCTTTTCCGATAAAGGAGTGCCCAGGTCCCCTTTAAAATACTGAACACACCAATGAGTACAGCCTTGGTTGTTCTCTCTCCTTTGAATCCAGTTCCCTTGTATGGCTTTATCTTCTAGCTCGGCCCAGTGCACTGTGACCCGGTATAAGTATTTACGGTACCAATTCACATCCAAAACCCGGTAACCAACCTCATCATTTAAGTGACCAGTCTTGTTTAATCTTTACGTTGTCTTTATTACTACGCTAACATGCGTTTGTTCTTGGCCTGGCTTCCCCAATCAAGTGCAGAGTCACCACCAGCAGTACTACAAACAGCATGCCCATGCTCCCATGGTAACAGTATTTACACTTTGATGGACGACCGGAGAATGTTAGGGAGTCTAAAGAAGAACAAAGGCTTCCTGGAAGGCTCCCCACCATGCCCAGCTCCCCTCTCCATCGTCTATACTCACCCTTTTTGCAGTATCTCTGGCCTCCTTCTTTGGGGCCCTTTGTTTACCCTTCTTACCGCTTACTTTAGGTGGTTTCTGTTTCGGTCTTTCTGGCTTGGCAAATCCTGGTGCTACCTGCATAAATAGTGAAAAAAACACATTTGCATAGCACCACACGTTAATAGTTATTTCAAACAATTGTCCGGCTGCTCCCTTTGGGAGGGGCATCCTATTTCCTGAGATCATCAAGTGACCCTGAATCCTAGCTCTAATGGTCACCCTTTTCTCTCGTACTTCCAGGCATTTTTCCACACTTAAACAGCTGGGCACCATCCCACTTATAGGCACAGTCAGTGGGTATCGTAACTTTATCACCCTTGTTTTCCCACTCCACAACTATTTTCAGCCTAGGGAGTAGGTTAACTAGTATCCATCTAATCTTATCAGGGCATTGTTCCCGCCCGGTATCCTTCTTGGCCTTTCCGTCCCAGGACCCTTCCAGACTACTGGCAACGGTGTCCCGGGGCAGGTGGCACACTTGTCATCTACAGCTTGGCGCCACTTCAGACCTTCAGGCACCTTGTTAGTCAAGCCGTCCTTCGCTAGCTCTAGTATCGCTAAGGCTCTTCCGGGCCATATGTGGGTGTGTCCCCTTCTTACGAGTACTAGGCCTTTCACATTCACTACCTCCGTCCACAGAGGCAATGCTACTTGGGCTCTAGGTTTGGTTATAGGGTTTGCCTTGGAGTGCTGATTTAGCCTGCTTTTCTGATACTAGGTTATTACCTAATCACAATGGGTTTTAATTTATCTACAGACTGTATTCCTACTTTTTCACACAATATCGTATTTTCATCGAATAGGTCTGCCACCTGTGTCCCTTTCCTGTGTCTTAATCCACACTTCTTGCCATATGGAGAGAGGACAGTGTGGTGTCACCACCGGTACCACGTATCTGCCTATTTCCGGAGTCTCAAATGGCTGCCCATTTAGTTATTGCGCAGGCGTATTTCTATTAACTATCGTTTAACAACTGTCCTAATTCTACCATTTTGTCACTCCAGTGTTTATTATTCAGATTTTTCACTATCCAATTTTTTATAATCGCAATAGACCTCTCTACCAAGCTGTTCGATTGAGGTGTATACGGGGAAGAGAAAACTCTCACTATCCCCTTTTCCTCACACCATTTATCAATCAATTTGTTTATCAATCCTATTGCAGATCCTGTACAGGAGTCAACAAGAACAAATGCATATTCTTCCCCCTTCTGGCCTTTTACTGGCAACGGTCCCATCGTATCCATACACACCGACCCCCATGGGATCGTGCTTTTTATGGTTAGACCAGGTTGCTGTTTTCCAGTTTTACCAGGGTTTTACGTTTGACATGTTGCACAGTCTTTCACTTTATTAGCCACTGTTTTACTTTTCACTCTGTATCCCATTGCTTTCAGCTTTTCCCTAGTTCATTTGATCCCTTGGTGTCTTAAACCCATAGGGACACCAGAGATCAGCTCAACAGCGGCTTCCTCAGGAACCATTATCCCATCAGAAGTATTTTCCCATGAATCTACGCCTTTTTCTCCCTGAGTATTTATTACAGCATACCTCACCTAAAACGGAATGGATTCAGCGGAGCTACAGTGGCACCTAACCCGGCAAGAGGACCATATGGAGGTAATCGGCCATCTTCTCCGCCAGCCTATCCCTACTCCTCCAATGCCAGGTATTATAACCCATAGCCCTCCTTAATTCATATCCATACCTGGAAAATATGACGGTTCACCTGGGAAATGTCGGGGATTTCTGATGCAATGCAGCAAATACATTGAGCACAACCCCACTAACTTAGCCACCGACAAGATCAGGGTGGATTGTGTTGTGTCTCTACTCACAGGCAAAGCCCTGGATTGGGCCACCGCCATATGGACTGCCAACAGCACAGAACTCGGATCCGAGACCCATTTCCACACCCTCTTCAAAGAGGTATTCGATCACTCTCCTTCCGGTCGTCCTATAGGGGACCTCCTCATAGACCTTCAACAAGGACGCAATTCAGCTGCCGAGTATGCCCTCGAGTTCCGTACCATGGCTGCAGGGAGTGGATGGAGTGAGGCTGCTTTACTTACCGTCTACCGAAGAGGGCTCAACAGGGAACTTCAGGCGGAGCTGGCCTGTAGAGGTGACCTTCAGGATTTAAATCAATACAGTCATATGTCCATCTCCATCGACCACCTCATCGCCGACCGCCGAAGGACTCTGCCACCCAGGAACCCGAAACCTTCTCTTTCCATGATTCCGTCATCCTGTCCGAGTCTTCCAGAGCCCATGCAGTTGGGTCATGCGCCTCTCACGTGTATTGAACGTCAAAGGTGGATCCAAGAAGGGCTCTGCCTATACTGTGGAAGGAAAGATCATCTACTCAGCCATTGCCCTGTTCGCCCCCACGGAGATATGAGAAGGGTCCCTCCACTGCCATGCAGGTAGGCAGGTCCGTATTTCTAAATATCTCCCAGAAGCAATTCTCCATCCCAGTATTGATAACCGTGACGGGGGTTATGAAGTACGTAGAGGGCTTGATAGATTCGGGAGCAGCAGGTCGTTTTATCGATCACCAGCTAGTACAAGAGCTTGTGATTTGTATTTTTAATGGATTATCAGATAAAACTGGGTTAATCACAAACATAGAGTTATAACTATTTGTTACTGGGCCAGGAATGTAATTGGGTCATTTCACTGTGTGTGGGGGGGTGGGGGGGTAAAGAGGGAATCTGACCTAGGGTCAGATTGCTTGCTCTTACTTAGATCCATGGATGTCTTATCATATCAGAGACTGAAACTGGCTTGGGCCTTTTGTTTCTATCTTCAAACACAGTGAAAAGAGCCGGGGTTGAACAGAGTTTAAACTAAACATGAGTGTTTTTGCAAGATAAGGATTGATTGATTGTAGTACTCTGAACTTAATTAAAGTCGAATTTAGCCACCCTCAGAGACAAAGGAAGTGGGCGGAGCAATAAAAGAGCGGAAAACTGAAGAGGGCACTATATAAGATGGAGGGAGAGGAGAAGAGGGGGTTCCAATCTGCAGATTGACCTGGCTTTGTTGAATTAAAAATAAAGTCATTCTTGATGCAACAAAAACTCTGTAAGACCTTTGATTTTTAATAAAGTATAGTGGTTATTTTCCACAACATAATTGCCGATCCCTTCAGGACTTGTTTATAGAGATCTTTGAGTGCTTTGCCATCAGAGGAGGTTTTGACGAATCACACAATCAGTGGCCACTGTTTAAACAAAGGTAAGCAACGTTCTTACTTAAACTGTGTGTTTCGATCAAGCTGAATCTGAGGGTAGGTTACGGAAGGGTTCTCTCCAGAATTTAAGGACCAAATTTAGCAAGTTTTTGGTGGAATAAGAAATAAGCATGCATGCAATGTTATTGTTGATAAGTGTGAATAACTTAAATCCTACGGTTACCGCTCTAGCGTGTTTATCATTGTTAGGGGCTGCTCAGGGGTGGGTGGCTAGCCAAAAGTCCACTACGGATACCGCTCTAACGTGTTGATCATTGTTAGAGGCTGCTCGGGGGTAGTTGGACATACATTACTAAAACCGCCTACGGTTACCGCTCTAACGTGTTTATCATTGTTAGAGGCTGCTCAGGGGTGACCTACTTGGTGACACATCAGCCTGGGTGAGGTGATGCACGAATTAGACAGCTAATCGGGGGGGGGGAAATAGGTCATCCAAGATGGTCACACCATAAATTGGAAGTCGCGCCGTTCATCTCAGGTAGGTGAACAGTTTTGAACGCCACCAGGGCTTCAAAGTATAGAGAAATAATAAGATAGAGTAGGTCTGTTCATCTCGTACGGGTGAATGGTTAGCTTGAGCGGCTGTGAGTCATTCAGTGAATAATTCTGTCTGATTCATTTAAGCACGAGTGGCTGCTTATCTGTGTGGGTGATGTGACAACAAAAATTAATCCTGTAAATAATAGCCTTTTCTTTGTGGAGAAAGTGTACGGAAAGGGACTATATTTTAGGTCATTTGAAGCTTCTAAGGCTGGTGGAGAAAGGAAAAGCCCAATCTTGCATTAGGGAGAGGAGAATTAATAGTATGTGGATATTCATTTACTAACGGAGGAGAGAGAGAAATCCTGTTGGAGGAACAGGTCACGTGTACGGGGGTGATCATATGACGTCAACACATTGAATTTCGGTCAAGCTTCGAGGGGATCATCACATTTGGGAAATATAAAAGTAAATGTTGATAGAGTTAACATTCCAAATTTGGGTACTTTTATAGAAGAAAATTCCTGTAGGTTATACGAATATTGATTGTGTGTTTGGGAAGTAGCGTTGTGTGAATGTGGTATGAGTAAATCTGAAGTTTGGAGAATTAGCTGGTGATATAAAATTAAATTAACTTGCGGCAATAAAGAATCATTAGAAATACGAATGCGGTGGATGATATGAATAATATTGAAATATGATTAATGTTATGTGCAGGTAATTGATTAGTAGAGGGTGGATAAAAGTGTAATAATATGTAAGTGCTGGCTTGCGCACCCAAACACGTAGACGTACGTGGGGGGTGGGAGACAGTACATAGATCATGTGATAGAGATAAATTAAGCATTATAATAGCTATTTATCATTTCAGAAGCAGAGGTGATATGGTCAAGGAATTTTAGTATATTAGGGGGAAAATATAATTCATTTGAGTAAAGTCGTTAGATCTGTTTCCAAATCAAGGAATGAAGGTTTGACTCGTTGACTGCTAAGTTATTTGCGTTGAGCTTGTGAGATCTGTGTCCTTCACAGCTATTTTGTGATGAATGTGGCATGTGCCAGATACTAAAACTACAGATCCTTATAATATGAGTAAAGGAGGATTTACTTGTCATTTCAATGAAGCATAGTTCTGCATTACTGACTAAAATCTAGATTTTCTGATTAGAGTGTAAGACTGGGATTTAGGAGTTTGGGGGGTTTGAAGTGAACGACTCCCGTATTCAACAGGAATAGGGGGGGGGGGGAGATAGTTATTTTCTGTGGCGCCGAATAAGTTGATAATTTGAAAACTACTGAGAATATAGTTGTAATTTGGAATAGTGAATTGAATATGGATGTGAATTAAATGTATGCTTGTCAACGATAGCAAGTATTTGTTTTATTAATTAGAGCGTAATCAGAAAGGACAGTTACAGAAATTGAATAGCGGACTGGCAAATACGATAGAGCTGAGGCCGTGATTTGAATTGATAACAAAGGAAAGTAATTTAATAGGGAAGTTAGAATTTCAACTGTGAATTGTTTGGGTAGACAGAGGAAAGTAATGTCTTTTAGTAAAATGAATGCAAATATACTAGTAGTTATTGGGGTTTTGGGAATAGACTTTAATGCTATGTTATAGTTCGCGGGTAAAAGAGAGACAGTCCAGCGAGTACGAATCGAGCGGTAAGAGAGATTGGAAGTAGAAGTCTAAATAGTTGAATGGAAAACTGTTATTTGACAAATTCTAATTGTTATTACTTTATTCGATAGGTTGCTTAACACCAGTGGTGTATGCAAATAGTTGGTGAATTCTAAAACGATAATTTGTTTTTCGTTACGTGAACCAGGGGATGCAAGTAGCTTGAGCTATTATGCTGATGGAATAGCATCAACTTATAGTGGGTTCTAGATTTGTTGAATAACAAACTTATATTTTAAACTAAATTAATGCAATAGGCTACAATTATAACATTATCAGAAAAAGGCACAATTTAATGCGAAACAGTTATTACATGTGTCATTGATCCAGTAATGATACAAGGATAAGAAGGATAGTAAAGGAAAGGCAAGGGATGAAATCTCATTTAAGGAAAGAAGAAGAGTATGAAGGTATATTAGGAAGAAAAATACCATTAACTGAGGAATATAAAAACGTTTAGCTGAGAAAGGTAACAGGAATAATTGACCTTACACCCTAATATAGACACTGAACCACACAAGGAGTAGAGATGGCAGGAATACCAGTAGCAATCATGAAGAGAAGGTTCCCAGAAAATAGTAAAGATATTGGTAATATCTCTGACAAATGGGAAAAAAGGACCAGGAAAATAGTAACTAAATGGCCAAAGGAGGGAACATTTGATGTAACAGTATGCGAGGAAATGGATACCCTAATAAAGAACTATAAAACAGGAGAGAAAAGGGAGAAAAGAAAGAAGAAGAGAGAGAAAGAGAGAGACATCTTGAAAATGTTCTGGGAGGAAGGAAAGAGTTGGAGGGACAGCATAGTAAAGGCTAGAAGGATAATAATGGAGAGGGAGAGTGGACCAAAAAAGGCTGGCTTAACTACACCACCACCATACACCGAAGGGGGGCAGTATTCTCAGGTCACAGGTTTAGTCTCAATAACAGGGAATGTAGAGATAGAATGAGAAAAAGGAAGCAGCAGGTTTCCACACCAGGAAGAGGAAAACAATCACATTTAGATATAGACTGTTATGGAAGACTGAGGGGGATGTTAACGGAACTGGAAAATTATGGGATAGATGAACAAGAGTATGATGGGCAAAGAGATGGGGGGAATACAAGTGATGAGGAAGGTGAAGAACTTAGACAGTATGCTGAGTCTGATCAAGGACAGAGTGAGACAGAGGGATGAACGTCAGATTCAAGCAAGGAATTATGCGACCATATTATCCACGCAATGGAGAAATACAGGAGGGATGAACGGAAATAGGCGAAGCAGTGGAGAGAGATTCTGAGAAAACTGGGACAGTTGCAGCTGGAAGAGCTGACAAGAAAGGACAAAAAGAAAACACAAGCCACACCTGTTCTCCAAGGAGGTCAACAGATAATGCTTCAGCAGCAAGGCCAAAGAGCTCCTCCTCACCATCATCCCTCTCTTCCACCTTCTCTTCAGAGGGCAAAGGAGTATCCGGGGGTCTTGGAGAGTCCCTTTCCTCCTGAGGGGACCCGTCAAACCTCAGGGTGTTCGTTTCGCAACTCTGGGCATGTCTACTTTCTTCCCTTCAAGTCCCATGTATCCCTACTTCCTTTGGAGAGGGAGCCGAAGGGTGTCTGTGAGACAACGATTTTTGGTAAGAGGGAGGTGAAGGTAAATATTGAGGAGCCAACCCTGCCGGGTCTAGGTACCTTTCCATTCAGGTAACTGGTCCTGTCTATCCCACTTCTCACGCAGCTGTAAATAGCATGCATGCCATTCTAGTTCTGAGGACACCATGGGAGTTGACGTTATAGGGGACACTAATTGGATTTAATTAGTTAAGACCCTTATTAGAATTTTACTGTTTTGACTTTTTCACAGGGCCCCTACTAGTGCGGCACCTTTACATCTATTAACCAGTTACTTTAGGTTACTCTATAGTTTTTAAAAACTATTTAGGGCCCCACGTTGGGCGCAAAGAATGTCGAGTTGACTAGTACAGGTCGCCTCCCAGACGGTCCTACTAGGTTCACTAACGCGCGGGTAGTCTTTAACTGTGGATCTTCTCTTGACTACACAGGGTGGGTCAACTCCCACTGCACACCGTAGGTCTGGATTAACCAGCGGTTTGAGCCTCTTTCCCGGTGAGGGGGCCTCCCTGTCTTCCTACCCTATCTTCCTACCCGAGGCTGAGTTAGCAGTAGAGCCCTGGGCTCCACTTTATCAGCCTGGGTCACCCCTCTTGGTCTATCTCTGCTTGCCACAGAGGTTAGCTCACTCTTTCCTACTGTTAACACTTCACGGGTAGTTTGTGACGCGGTATACTACGCGTCAGTAGGGGCTATTTCTGTGTACAACACCAATGAACAATCCCATATTTATTTATAGTATTTAACTTGGCCTGGCTCTTATTACGTGTTATCTCGCCTTTCACGCAGGATACGTTCAACCACGGGGTTATACTATTTTTATAAACGTGGCAAAGTCTCAGACACCCCTGCTATTGGTAGTTTCTAGTTTCAGTGTTACCAGAGTCTTGTCTGAGGACTAGGGGAGTCAACAGGTCATATTGACTAGGCCCTTTCACAACAACTGTCCTGCATCTTTATCTTTCTTACTATGTATTTGTTGGATACTTCATTTTTGTCACGAATTCGGCCGAGACTGCTCCTCCTCCTTGCTCGGGCAGGCTTCGGCGTTCGTCGTCCCCGGAGTACTAGCTACCACCGTTGGATGTTTCGATGTTTGTTTGGTTTGGTCTGTCTGTTTCACCTGTGTCCGTTTGTGTCTAATTATGTGACCTATAAGTTTCCTGCTTTGTGTATGTGAGATTGTGTGTTATTGTCCGCCTGTCCGTTGGTGCTGTGTATTTTGCTCTTATCTATTTTGTTTATTTACGCACAGTTTGCGTAATCGCTCGCCTCCGTTTTGTTGAGGCCCGTTTTGTATTGTCGTGTTTCTGTCCAGTAAAGTCTGTTGGACTAAGCTTCTGTGTCCTGCACCTGACTCCACACCACATCCACATCAGCCATTGACAATTTTGCTGTTGAACCGCAAGAAGAGCTTGCAAGAAATAATTTTGTTACTATGTTTTTATTTGTATGTTATTATTTATATCTGCATCTTTGGGAAGGGCACATAAACAAGCATTTTATAAAATGTTGTCGATAAAAAACAACTGTGCTTTACAAAAGGTGACAATCAGTGGTGACCCATCATTCAGGGCAGGTGATTGGCTCAGTGTTCTGTCACTCATGGGGACACTAAGTCACCGCAATATCTACGGGGAGAGCTTGAAAATTCAAGCCCCTTGGGTGCTGCCATAGATTTACATTAGAAGTGCCCATCCAAGAAGGCTCAAGGTCATTGGCCACAGATAAAATTATGTCAAATCATGTTATTGCTACCATAGCTTTGATTGGACTGATCATGTCAACATCATACTTTCAAAATCTTAGCTAGCAAGCTAGACAATCACTCATCATCATGGATCAAGTCGACAATCTACTGGCAAATTCTTTTAAATCCTTGTCATATGAAGAGACATTTGAGATAAAACGTATCGGTGCTCATCGGCCATTGGACATAATCATTACACAACAAGTTGGAAATCGCAAATTCAACAATGAGTGGTTTGGAAGGAATCAGTGGCTAACTGCAAGCTTTGCAAAGCAATCACTAGCCTGCTATTCAGTGGAGAGGGTGTGTGGTCCAAGTCTGTGTTTTAGGGTCTCTTTTCCAAGCTTAAAAGGATAAACATTCACTTGCAACAAACCATGGAGCAGAAAAGGTTGCACATTGGCCATGCTGTCAATTCAGCATGACTTCTGCCACGTCCCAAAAAACAGGACTGAACTGGGAAATCTCAGACTTCAGTGAGTTCAAGACAACTGGGAACTCTGAAAACAAACTCGGAATTCCAAGTCGGGAACTCGGGCCTCTTTCTAGAGCTCCGACTTGAAGATCACTGACGTCATGATTAAACCAGTTGTCTTGAAAGCACCATAAATCCAGAGAACGGCAGATTTCATGACAAAGTTTGATGACAAAATTTGCCCACAAGAAGGACCGCCGTGCCACCTTCCTGTTCAAGTGAGCACAACAAGGTGAGTCCAAAAATGTATTGTATGCTGCTGCATAAATGGTAATATGGCAGGGAGATATGTATACTGTAGCTAAGAAAGTAATACTAAGTGTATGTTGTGTAGTAAGCTGTTAGTAGCCCATGTGCCTCACCTAATAATTTGGTCCCTTTCCCCCTCATAACTTAGCCTACTGTTCTGACTTGGTGGTGCACATGTAGCCTATAGCCTGTTTTAGAGAAATGTAATCATAGAATATTGTAAGAGCTTTCATTGTCTGCTTATATGCCCCCTTTATTTATCCTACGGTTCTGACTTGGTGTACAGGGAGAATACTGTAAGAATGGACCATGTTCTGAATTATGTCACTGTACATTTCAAAATAGTTATATTGACTACGGCCGTCCTAGCTCGCTCATTAATGTCTTAATCAAAATTACGAATTGCCTCTTATCCGCTCGTCGTTCCCTTATGCCATAGTTTGTACATCTCAATTGTCAGTAGAAACCAAATTTGTTTAAGCAAGTCAGCCATATCAGCTATGTTTTTTAAGAAGGCAGTAAATGAGGCTGAATGAACTGTTTCGCTGCCAGACAAGGCTCCGCTGATAGCCAGGTGTAGCGGTGGTAAGGATTCACTCCATGGTGCTGAAAAGAAAGCTTTGCTGTTGGAACAGCTTTATGTAGGCCCTAACAGTTTGTGGGCACTGGTTTTCACTATTATAGTGCAATGAATGTATTGTTTAGTATTGTGTTGTGTAGTGGCTTTGCTGGCATGCATCTAAAAAATTGTTTTTGTGTTTGCCCCACAAATATTGATATGCTAAAATCGCCACTGGACATAATGCATTAATAAAATGCAATGCTGTATAAAACTACTTATAGATAGAGCCTTATATTCTACTCTATATATAGTCATAAATGTTTATGTTTACTGGCTAGGTTTTCAGAGTGAGAGATCTGTCTGAGCAGCAGATATTAGAGCCTGAGGGACTGTATGGAGCCTGAGGGAGACCCTGGAGTCCTGAGCAGGAGGTGAGTCAGAGAGAGAGGCTGTCTGAGGGATACACACTAACCAAGGCTCAGTTTCACTCTGATAAATACTCTACAGGACAAACTACATACAAATCATATTTACAGGTGGTGCAGGTACTCCCCCCATCCCCCTCTTTCTCTCTCTCAGTGACAGTCTGCTGACTGAGGATCAGTTCAGATGCTCTGTGTGTTCAGAGGGACACGGTCTCCATTCCCTGTGGACACAGTTACTGCAGGCAGTGCATCAGCACATACTGGGTACCAGATCAGACACAGAGCAGAGGACAGGTTCAGTGACATCACTGTGACAGAGAATGGGTCAGGGTCTGGGCCTGGGAGTCTGGTAGTCCAGTCAGCAGACAGAAACTCAGTCAGTCTGACCTGGAGAAGACCAGCGGAGGATGCAGAGGGACGGTCTGTGTTCCACTACAGACTGGAGTACAGAGAGGAGGGACAGGAGGAGTGGGACACACTGCTAACAGACGGAGACAAGTGTGTGTACTCCCTAACACCCACACACACCTCCTGCAGAGTCAGAATGTGTGCTGTCTATGGAGAGAGACATATGAGTGAACCCAGTGAGGAAACAGTCATCCCACTGGCAGGTTGTTATGTTGAGGAACATAATGAATAAGTGATTCTTAAAATAAAAGTAATAAATCATCATATATATAGTTATTATTATTATTATTGGGGGGGGGGGTGGGCACGGGATGTTCCCCAATGCTGGAAGGGGAGTCTGAGTGAAAAAGTTTGGGAACCCATGTACTAGTTTGTCAGGGGGTTGAGTACAATACAAACTTATGTTGTACAGTGGATAAAAAAAGATATAAAAAACTCCTTATGAATGATGTTTAGTAAAAGTATTATGAAGATTGTTATAAATGATACTGCAACATAAAGTTGTTATGACTGGTGTCATAAAGGTTCTATATATTCCTTATGTATGCGCCCTTCAAGTAAAGTTGTCCTATTTTTCGTTGAATTTTAGAACTTGAAACAGTCTGAAAATATCCTGGTCAGTGCATGTTACGCTTCAGTTAGTCTCTTTAACTCAACAGCCCTGTGTGTCACAAAGTGCTCTGAGACTGGCAAGCACGTCTACTGTCTAGTCTATCTAGCTAGACTGTTTACATTAATAGACTATTGCATTAGTTTAGATGTCATATTCAAGTGGAAAAATAGCCATATGACAGAAACAAGTGTTTAATACAGTAAAATGCAGTTCCCCAGATGTATGTTATATATCCACTGACATGTTCTAATTATAATGAATTGTATGTTTCTCTCCACAGTGGATGTGACTCTAGATCGTGATACAGCACATCCCCAACTCATCCTGTCTGAAGACAGGAAACAAGTGAGATATGGATATAAAGACAAATGACATGATCTCCCTGACAACCCAGAGAGGTCTGATGACTGTCTCTGTGTCTGGGAAAGGAGGGTTTCTGCTCAGGGAGATACTACTCTGAGGTTCAGGTAAAGGGGAAGACTGGGTGGACTTCAGGAGTGGCCAGAGAGTCCATCAACAGGAAGGGGATGATTACACTGAGTCCTAATAATGTATCCTGGACTGTGTGGCTGAGGAATGGACAGTACAAGGCTATCACTGAACCCTCTCTTACCCTCTCCCTGAGAGAGAAGCCCCAGAAGGTGGGGGTGTTTGTGGATTATGACGAGTGTCAGGTCTCCTTCTACAATGTGGAGGCCAGGTCTCATATCTACTCTTTCACTGGCTGAACATTCACTGAGAAACTCTATCCATACTTCAGCCCTGGTAATCTTTACACTGGTAAAAACTCAGAACCACTGGTCATCACTCCTGAAGATGTCACTGACTGACTGTTTAATACCAAACATTAAAATAATGTTAACATAACTGATAATGTAATAGCGACCAGATAATGTAATAATTAATTATAATATAATACATATTACACAAATCCGCAGATCATGTATTAACATTTTACATTTATAATGCAATAACTTTTCCTGATAATATCATCAATCAATTGCAGTTAATAATGCAGTAGTGTATATGCCATAAATAATTATTGTAATCTTTTGAGCACCAAGTTATTTCAAGTTTTAATCTCACATGCACAAGTACATTTTTAACATTTAACATTTTAGTCATTTAGCAGACGCTCTTATCCAGAGCGACTTACAGTTAGTGCATTCATCTTAAGATAGCTAGGTGGGACAACCACATATCACAGGCATATGCCTTTCCTGCAAGCTCTAAACCCAGAAATGCAGTAATGTAATGTAATAATACAATAACATAAGGTAGAACAAAAACACAAGAAATAGAAATAACAAATAAGAAGAACTGGAAATATGGTAGTTTTGTGGATAAGGTTATAATTTCAAGTGTTAACATACTTTAACAATAACAAACTCACAGTTTGCCAGTGCTGGTCGTCTTCTTCATAATGTAATCCAAGAAGACCTACCTGTCCATCTAGCGCTGTGGACCATATCACCTTAGTGGACGAGATTCATCTAGCTCTGAGGACCATATCACTTTAGTGGATGAGATCCATATTCTTCTTCCTGATAACATGACTGGGATGAATAAAAACAGTCCAATAATTGCTACAGGATCCCTGGGTCTATATGCATTGTCATATTTTCAGTGTTCCCCTAAAATTAGACTGTAGTGTAGAACAATATCACTATGAATTAGTTCAACAGTGAAGTACATTCCTGCATGCATATATATTATGTTTCTTACTTTATTTTTATTGAAAACATTTTTAGCTGTTGAACTGAAAAGAGAGCTTGCAAATAATCACTTAATTGTACTGTTCACTGCGCTGTATCCTGTGCATATGGCAATAAACTTGGATTTAGAATTCCAATGAATTTGTATAAAATTGAAGCTCATTTACTGCATTTCTACACAATTTAAAATCTCTAAAATGCGATTTGGAGAACAGCAAATACAAGCAAAATGGACTCCAGCCATCACCTTGTTGCTGTAGCTTCATTCAGCTCAATCAATAGCTTCATTCAGCTCAATCAATAGCTTCATTCAGCTCAATCAAGCCAGCCAGCCAGCCATACAAACAGCCAGCTAGCCAGCCAGCCAGCCAGCCAGCCATACAAACAGCCAGCTAGCTAGCCAGCCAGCCAGCCAGCCAGCCAGCCAGCCATACAAACAGCCAGCCAGCCAGCCAGCCAGCCAGCCATACAAACAGCCTACCTCCACCTCCCAGGAGTCCGCATGGTCCTGAAGTCAGCAAACTAACCCTGCTAAACTGCATTTGCCTTTTAATCAGGATTGGAATGATTTTTGTATCCTATTTTAAAATGTTGGTGTTGAGCTACAGTATGTCAACTGCCATTCCATGCCATACCCTGCCATACCCTGCCATTCCATGCCATACCCTGCCATACCCTGCCATACCCTGCCATACCCTGCCATTCCATGCCATACCCAATGTCCCTGGTTCAGAAGTAGTAATGGAGTTTTCAGCACATCTGACCAGCAGAAGTGTTGAGGGCAGGTTTTCTATGTCAGCGTAAAGCCACATGAAGGCGCTGTTTCACTACAGTGCATTAAGTTCACCTAGTGAGGCAAGTATGGGTAGCTACAGGCCAATATGGCGACCGGAGTATGGACGAGTGGGTGTGTCGAAAGGAGTGGGTATATGGAAAGTGAATCAGCTAATTGAGCAGATTTGTTGCCACTCAAGACCGTTTTGAGTGGCTGATTGGGCTGCACGACGAGTCGATAAGCCGGCAACCAGTGCACCGGGTGCTGAATCGATGTGCCTGCCTACTTGAAGTGCTTCATACTCGATAGCTAACATGGCCATTTTTTTAAAATCTCAAATGATATTATAGGTAGGATAGCAGTCTACACAAGAAATAACTAATATTGATAACCATCTAGATGTCACCTTGATACAAACATACAGTCTACTACTCAATGGGGAGGGCATGAATGGTAACAACAACAGGACACAGTGCCCTTCGCTCCCGCTTGACAAGCACTACTGTCCAGCAACGTCGTAGGAAGTAGCTACCTAGTTGTCAATATCAGGGTGACAGCTGCACACGCACACAATGCATGGAGTACATCCATCATCAATACTTTTAAACAAAAATAAACTATTGTCAGTTTTATAAGTGAAAATGTACTATTATTTGTGTAAAACGAACAGTGAATTACGGTTCAGACTCATCTGGCTTAAAAACAGAAGTCTAAACTCTCTCAGTACGGTAGCTCAAACCCTGACCTGAAGAGTGTTTTGCAAGCAAGATTTGAGAGTAGGTTATATTTGTGCTTGGGCGAGGTGTGTGCTTTGTGCTTGGGCGAGGTGTGTGTGTGTGTGTGTGTGTGTGTGGTGTGTGTGTGTGTGTGTGTGTGTGTGAGTGTGTGTGTGTGTGTGTGTGTGTGTGTGTGTGTGTGTGTGTGTGTGTGTGTGTGTGTGTGTGTCTGTGTGTGTGTGTGTGTGTGTGTGTGTGTGTGTGTGTGTGTGTGTGTGTGTGGTGTGTTGTGTGTGTGTGTGTGTGTGTGTGTGTGTGTGTGTGAGTGTGTGCGTGCGTGTGTGTGAGTGCATGCATGGGTGCGTGTGTGTGTATGTGTGCTGTCTTCCCCATCCCAGACAGTGTATGTGAACTCTTCTCCAGATGGGTTGCAGGATTGGGCTAAATTCCATTTCATTTCAGTCAATTCAGTAAGTAAACTGATATTCAGATTCTCTTTGGACTCTGAACAGCAACTGTTTGTTGATAAGCCAACCTGTCACCTGCCCTGTCACCTGACCATTGCTACGTGTTCACTTAGAGTAAAGGTTAATAGTTTATCACCTCACCTCAGGGAAACATTAAGCGGACTATCGGTGCAGAGTCGGTTACTCCAGTTCTTGGTAAGAAAAAATAAGTAAGCAAGAGAAAACTAGTACAGTTATTTACATATAATATTGGGACATTTCAATAACAATAAGTAGTATAATGTCTTAGCTTGAATTAAGCAGGCATGTCCTCAAATTGGCTACAATGCTGTAACCTATGGCAATAAAATCGTACACATATTTATAGTATGTGTATAATACCGGTAATACTACTAATACTACTATGTCTACTTCTAATACCACTAATACTAATGTATACTACTAATACTGCTAATAATACTAATAATACTACTATATCTAATACTACTATGTATACTACTAATACTACTAGTACGACTATGTCTAATACTACTACTACTACTACTAATACTACTATGTTTACTTGTAATACTACTATGTCTACTACTAATACTACTAGTACTACTATGTCTACTACTAATACTAATACGAATACTAATACTACTAATACTCCCATGTACACTACTAATTCTACCTAGTAATATTAATAATACGAATACTACTAATACTACTATGTCTACTACTAATACTACATATATCTACAACTAATATTACTGTCTATTACTAATATGACTATATCTACTACTAATACTATGACTAATACTACTACAAATACTAATATATCTACTACTAATACTATGACTAATACTAATACTAATACTACTATGTCTACTATTAATACTACAACTACTGCTACTACTACTGCTACTACCAATACTATGATGAATACTACTACCCTCTACTACTGCTAATACTATTATGTCTACTAATAATACTACTACAAATACTACTACAAATACTACTATGTCTACTACTAATAATATGACTAATACTACTACTTATACTACTATGTCTACAACTAATACTACTACTAATACTACTAATACTACATACATTTGTAGAGATCCAAACACCTGAAGTTGTTTTGCAAGTTTAACAAAGAACATGGAGGTTCTCTAAAATGGAATCTGCTCACAATTTAATCTCTTGATAAAGTCATGAAATATGATCACATGGCCAGTTGATACATTACATATGAGAAAGAACATACTATTTAATGTGCAGTAGCCTACTGTGCACACTGCACAGCCATTATATTCATGTATGATGTTTGTATTTACTAGTAGTTTGTCTCTCTCTGAGTGAGAGATCTGATGCAGTCCAGATTCTGAAGAGACATTAGACTGTATGGAGCCTGAGGGAGACCCTGGAGTCATGAGGTGAGTCAGAGAGAGGGGCTGTCTGAGGGATAAACATGATAAGAAAACATATCAAAAATATGGAACATAATAATGGCTTATTTTAAATGTTATTTAATGTGTAGTGTCAAGCAGGAGAGAGCAGCTCCCAGCTGTGTGTCTATGAAGAGTGACAGGTCAATGGAGCAAGATATCAAATTCAAAAGAGTAAATCTCCCTGACTCAAGGTGAGAACAGTGTTACAGCTTTAACTGATATATGCCAACATATAAAAGATGCAGCTTTATTTATCTTAACCCATTATATACCAACGTCTGACAGTTGTGGGACCAGCTATGTTCTGCTTTTGGTTCAGCTTCCTGAATTGTTCAGTGTAGTGAGATTCAGAAAGGGAAAACTGATTTCTGTGCTTTGTGGACACTATAATACATCTACATCTAAGATGTGCTTTTGTCTGTGCTTTTGTAATGTGTAGTGTCAAGCATGGGAGAGAGGAGTCTCCTGCTTCCAGCTGTCTGTCTATGAAGAGTGACTGGTCACTGGATCAAGACATAAACTTCAGAGCAGGAGTCTGTCTCTCTGATCTAAGGTGAGAGATGATTAAAGGTCCAGACTGCAGCTAGATAGTGTGTACATCACAATGAGATCTTGCTGTGATAATATACAGTGAGGGAAAAAAGTATTTGATCCCCTGCTGATTTTGTACGTTTGCCCACTGACAAAGACATGATCAGTCTATAATTTTAATGGTAGGTTTATTTTAACAGTGAGAGACAGAATAACAACAACAAAATCTAGAAAAACGCATGTCAAAAATGTTATAAATTGATTTGCATTTTAATGAGGGAAATAAGTATTTGATCCCCTCTCAATCAGAAAGATTTCTGGCTCCCAGGTGTCTTTTATACAGGTAACGAGCTGAGAATAGGAGCACACTCTTAAAGGGAGTGCTCCTAATCTCAGCTTGTTACCTGTATAAAAGACACCTGTCCACAGAAGCAATCAATCAATCAGATTCCAAACTCTCCACCATGGCCAAGACCAAAGAGCTCTCCAAGGATGTCAGGGTCAAGATTGTAGACCTACACAAGGCTGGAATGGGCTACAAGACCATCGCCAAGCAGCTTGGTGAGAAGGTGACAACAGTTGGTGCGATTATTCGCAAATGGAAGAAACACAAAATAACTGTCAATCTCCCTCGGCCTGGGGCTCCATGCAAGATCTTACCTCGTGGAGTTGCAATGATCATGAGAACGGTGAGGAATCAGCCCAGAACTACACGGGAGGATCTTGTCAATGATCTCAAGGCAGCTGGGACCATAGTCACCAAGAAAACAATTGGTACCACACTACGCCGTGAAGGACTGAAATCCTGCTGCGCCCGCAAGGTCCCCCTGCTCAAGAAAGCACATATACAGGCCCGTCTGAAATTTGCCAATGAACATCTGAATGATTCAGAGGATAACTGGGTGAAAGTGTTGTGGTCAGATGAGACCAAAATCGAGCTCTTTGGCATCAACTCAACTCGCCGTGTTTGGAGGAGGAGGAATGCTGCCTATGACCCCAAGAACACCATCCCCACCGTCAAAGATGGAGGTGGAAACTGTAATGAATACTCGGACAGAGTGGTAAGATCCAATCGCAGAATTGCGATGCTTTATTAGAGTACAGACAAGGGAATAGCTTAATCGTAGTCGGGCGGGCTGTGGTCAAAACCGGGCCAGGCAGAGACAGGCAGAGGTACCAAGGGAGCGGGCGTAGTCGTAGTCGAGGGCACAGGCACAGGGTCAGAGTACGGTAATCACTGGGATAAACAAGCAGAGGATTAAGCAATACGGGGAGTCAAACAACAAGGCACAGGTCGGATACACGGGTAATCAAAAACAACAAACTCTCTCTCTCGGAACAAAACGCTTAGCAAGTCACAATGGAACAATACCTCGCACCGACTGAACTTCTGAGCACACCTTATATCCTACACTAATTACTGACAGGTGTGCTCAGAACTCAGGTGAACCAGATCGAGTCTGATGACTCCCCCTCTCTGTAGATCGGGGAAGTGTCAGACTCTGTCTAGACCCAGCCAACCCCCGATCCCTTACAGTATCCCCCTCCCCAGGGCCGGCTCCTGACGGCCTTCTACCTCTACCGGGTGGTCTTCCTCTGGGTCGGGGTCCTGTATGATCTGGGTGTTCAGCGTGGAAAGTGGCCTTGAGAGCGGGATCCAGTATGTCCTTAGCAGGGACCCAGGACCGTTCCTCAGGTCCATATCCCTCCCAGTCCACGAGATATTCGATGCCCCCTCGTCTCCGTCTTGACTCCAGTATCTCGTGGACTGTATAGGTGGTGTCCTGTTCATCCTCCAGAGGTGGTGTAGTAGGTTGTTGAGCGATAGGGGGGTACATCGGGCTATAGTGGACAGGTTTCAACAGGGAGACGTGGAACGTAGGGGTTATCCTGTAGTGTCGGGGAAGTAACAGACGGTAGGTGACAGGGTTAATACGTCTCAGTATTTTGAAAGGCCCGATGTACCTGGGTTGAAGCTTCTTGCAGCTCCGTCGGAACCGCAGGTCCCGGGTAGACAGCCACACTCTTTGCCCGGGTTGATAAGTGGGAGTAGGTCTCCGGCGTCGGTCAGCGTAGGTCTTTTGCTGTTGTGAGGCCTGACTGAGATGTTGATGGGCCGTCTCCCAGACCTGCGCACTCCGACGGAACCACTCGTCCACCGCCGGTACCATCCCTGATGCGGTATCCCACGGGAACAGGGGTGGTTGATACCCTAGAACACACTGGAAGGGCGTTAGGCGTAGGGAGGTGTGAATGAGTGAGTTCTGAGCATACTCTACCCAAGGAAGGAATCGGCTCCACTCTTGCGGCTGCCGCGAACATTGTTGCCGTAGATATTTCCCAATTTCCTGGTTGAGCCGTTCTGTCTGCCCATTGGCCTGGGGATGATATCCGGAGGTTAGGCTAACCGAGATGCCCAAGCGTTCGCAGAAGGCCTTCCATACCCGGGATACAAACTGGGGTCCCCGGTCGGAAACAATATCCTCCGGGACACCAAACTGCCGGAACACCTGGTTAAACATAGTCTCCGCCATCTGAGTGGCGTTAGGCAAACGGGTCATGGGTACTAACCGGCACATCTTGGAAAATCGATCGATGACCACGAGAATTACAGTATGGCCCTCTGATTCTGGTAGATCTGTAACAAAGTCCATTGCAATGTGCGACCAGGGTCGTTGAGGAGTTGGCAATGGCATCAGCTTACCCTCCGGTAGTGCACGAGGTACCTTGGACTGAGCACATACTGGACAGGATAAGACATAGTCTCTGACGTCATCTGTGAGGGAATCCCACCAGTATTTTCGGCTGATGAGTCGTGCAGTTCGAGTGATTCCGGGATGACCAGATCCCAGCGACGTGTGGCACCATTCCATCAGTTGAGGTCGAAGCGGAGCTGGTACAAACACCTTTGACTCCGGGGTTTCTGGAGGGGCTGGTTCCGATTGTAGGCTCTCCTGAATAGTGTCATCAATAGCCCACCTCACAGGACCAGCACGGCAACTCATGGGGAGGATAGGTTCTGGTTCCACGGGTCTTTCCGCGCGCTCGAACCGTCGGGAAAGCGCGTCCGCCTTACCATTCTTGGACCCGGGGATATAAGAGACAGTGAATCGGAAACGGTTGAAAAATAAAGACCACCTTGCCTGTCGGGAGTTCAGTCGTTTAGCACTGTGAAGATACTCCAGATTGCGGTGGTCCGTGAGCACTTGGAACGGATGCTCTGCTCCCTCCAACCAATGTCTCCACTCCTCCAGTGCTAACTTCACCGCCAGTAGTTCACGATTACCCACGTCGTAGTTCTGCTCGGCCGAATTCAGTTTTCTTGAAAAGAAAGCACAGGGTCGTGATTTAGGCGGCTCACCTTGGCGTTGGGATAACACGGCTCCCACTCCAACCTCCGAGGCGTCCACTTCCACGATAAACGGCAAGGTAGGGTCCGGCTGACATAAAATAGGAGCGGTGGTAAAGCGTTGCTTCAACGTCTCAAACGCACGCACTGCCCCCTCCGTCCAGTTCAGATCGCGACCCTTGTAGCTGGTCATCGCCGACAGGGGAGCTGCGGTGGTGCTGAAATTACGCACGAACCGTCTATAGTAATTGGCAAACCCCAAGAATCTCTGGAGCTCTTTCACCGTCTGGGGTTGAGGCCAGTCTTGTACCGCTTGTACCTTGGCTTCATCCAGTTTAACCCCGTCGGGAGTGAGTATGGCCCCAAGGAAGGAAATCGTGGTGACATGGAATTCACTCTTTTCTGCCTTCACGAACAGAGAGTGGTGTAGGAGTCGATCCAGAACCTGTCGTACATGGGACACATGTTCACTCAGAGAGTTAGAATAGATTAGGATGTCATCAATGTACACTATCACAAAGCGATCAATCATGTCCCTGAAAATGTCATTCATGAACGCCTGGAATACTGAGGGCGCGTTGGTAAGTCCATAGGGCATGACACAATATTCATAGTGTCCTCGATGGGTGATGAAGGCGGTCTTCCATTCATCCCCTTCTCTAATGCGCACCAGATTGTACGCACTCCTGAGGTCCAGTTTACTGTAGATAGAGGCCTGCCCCACCTGCTCGAGGGCTGCTGGGATCAAAGGAAGAGGGTAACGATTTTTTATGGTAATATCGTTCAAACCTCGATAGTCTATACAAGGACGCAGTCCGCCATCCTTTTTCTTCACGAAGAAAAAACTGGATGCGGCGGGAGACGTAGATGGGCGAATGGCCCCTTGCTGTAGCGCCTCATCAATATACTTGCTCATCGCTTCTCGTTCCGGCTGTGACAACGGGTAGATTCTTCCACGAGGAGGTGTAGCCCCGGATAGCAGATCAATCGCACAGTCCCAGGCCCGATGAGGTGGTAATACGGTAGCCCTCTCCTTGGAGAACACCTGCGCGTAATCCTGGTATTCTGTTGGAACAACAGTAGACACCGCACCCTGCGCATCCTCCACAGTAGACGTTTTGCAAGGTAAATTGAGGCACTCTGCCCTACATACCTCACTCCAGGCAGTGATATCGCCCGATTTCCAGGAGATGACCGGATCATGGGTGACGAGCCAGGGGTGGCCGAGAACTAGCGGCTCCCGTGGAGCGGAGATGACGAACAAAATGATGTCCTCATGGTGTATGGAGCCCACTTGTAACTTGATTACCTCGGTACGGTGCGTAATGAACCCAGTGCCCATGGGCTCACCGTCTAGCGCGTTGACTCGCAGGGGAGGTTGAATTGGGATAAGTTGAACTCCCAATTCCTCAGCGAGACCCATATCCAGAAAACTGGCAGCCGCTCCGGAATCAATAAGACCCTCCAACCTGCGCACTTTCTCTCCGACAGATAAGGTAACTGGCACATACATTTGTTTAGACGTAATGTTGAACACTTGAGTCTCACTCACCGGTTTGGCAGTTCCGAGGCGATATCCTGGGTTACGGTTTGGGCGTACCGGACATTGACGAACGAAATGACCCGACTGACCACAATACAGGCATAGTCCGTCTTGCCGACGTTGTTGTCTCACCGAATCTTGTAGGGGTGACCGTCCCAGTTGCATAGGTTCCTCCTCAGATTCTCTCCTCCGCTCTGTCGATTGCGTAGGACCAGTGACCGAGGGCTCCCGGACTGTGGATACCTTATGTTGCACTATCAGATTATCAATAGAGATGGCTATTTTGATAAACTCATGTAGCACAATGATATCTCCTCGACAAGCCAACTCAGTCTGTACGTCTTTGTGCAACCCTCTTCGGAAAACGGTGAGTAAAGCAGTCTCGCTCCATCCGCTACCGGCTGCTATAGTACGGAACTCCAAAGCGTAGTCGGCTACTGTGCGACGGCCCTGCTGAAGTTCGCATAGTTGGTCTCCCACACTACGCCCAGATACTGGGTGGTCAAACACCTCTTGGAACAGTCTTTTGAACTGAACTTCCGCATTCAACTCGGGGACCTCAGCTGCCCAAAGCGCAGTAGCCCAATCCAGTGCTCTTCCCGTTAGCAGAGAAATCATGAAATCCACCCTGCTACGGTCATCGGGAAACATAGTACGATTATACGACATATACAGGGACGTCTGGAGTAGAAACCCCTGACATTTGCCAGGTTCCCCGTCGTACCTTGTCGGTAGAGAAATCGGAGGTGCATGACGAGGACTGACCGTGCTCGGGTTGGTGCCTTCAGCCGCACCAGCGTTGAGTAGTTGCAGGAGTTCATCCATCCGTTTCTCCTGTATCTCCCATCGCCTCTGTAATTCCGCTGGATCCATGGTATGGGCGAGGTATTCTGTAATGAATACTCGGACAGAGTGGTAAGATCCAATCGCAGAATTGCGATGCTTTATTAGAGTACAGACAAGGGAATAGCTTAATCGTAGTCGGGCGGGCTGTGGTCAAAACCGGGCCAGGCAGAGACAGGCAGAGGTACCAAGGGAGCGGGCGTAGTCGTAGTCGAGGGCACAGGCACAGGGTCAGAGTACGGTAATCACTGGGATAAACAAGCAGAGGATTAAGCAATACGGGGAGTCAAACAACAAGGCACAGGTCGGATACACGGGTAATCAAAAACAACAAACTCTCTCTCTCTCTCGGAACAAAACGCTTAGCAAGTCACAATGGAACAATACCTCGCACCGACTGAACTTCTGAGCACACCTTATATCCTACACTAATTATTGACAGGTGTGCTCAGAACTCAGGTGAACCAGATCGAGTCTGATGACTCCCCCTCTCTGTAGATCGGGGAAGTGTCAGACTCTGTCTAGACCCAGCCAACCCCCGATCCCTTACAGAAACATTATGCTTTGGGGGTGTTTTTCTGCTAAGGGGACAGGACAACTTCACTGCATCAAAGGGACGATGGACGGCGCCATGTACCGTCAAATCTTGGGTGAGAACCTCCTTCCCTCAGCCAGGGCATTGGAAATGGGTCGTGGATGGGTATTCCAGCATGACAATGACCCAAAACACACGGCCAAGGCAACAAAGGAGTGGCTCAAGAAGAAGCACATTAAGGTCCTGGAGTGGCCTAGCCAGTCTCCAGACCTTAATCCCATAGAAAATCTGTGGAGGTAGCTGAAGGTTCGAGTTGCCAAACGTCAGGCTCGAAACCTTAATGACTTGGAAAAAATCTGCAAAGAGGAGTGGGACAAAATCCCTCCTGAGATGTGTGCAAACCTGGTAGCCAACTACAAGAAACGTCTGACCTCTGTGATTGCCAACAAGGGTTTTGCCACCAAGTACTAAGTCATGTTTTGCAGAGGGGTCAAATACTTATTCCCTCATTAAAATGCAAATCAATTTATAACATTTTTGACATGCGTTTCTCTGGATTTTTTTGTTGTTATTCTGTCTCTTACTGTTAAAATAAACCTACCATTAAAATTATAGACTGATCATGTCTTTGTCAGTGGACAAACGTACAAAATCAGCATGGGATCAAATACTTTTTTCCCTCACTGTATGTACTGTGTTTCATCTGCTAACATTCTCTCTCTCTCTCTCTCTCTCTCTCTCTCTCTCTCTCTCTCTCTCTCTCTCTCTCTCTCTCTCTCTCTCTCTCTCTCTCTCTCTCTCTCCTGTTTCTCCGCAGTGACTTCAGTGCCAGTCTGCTGACTGAGGATCAATTAATATGCTCTGTGTGTTCAGAGATGCTGAGGGACCCGGTCTCCATTCCCTGTGGACACAGTTGCTGCAGGCAGTGCATCAGCACATACTGGGCCCAGCCCGGCCCTGCAGGAGACTATGTGTGTCCCCAGTGCAGTAAGAGATCCAGAGCCCGGCCTGCGCTCTACACTAACACAGCCTTGGCCAGGGTCCTCCAGGGGCTCCAGCAGGCAGGCTTCAGTCCTGCCCTCCCTGCTCTGGGCTACGCTGGGCCTGGGGACGTGGCCTGTGATATCTGCTCTGGACAGAAGCTCAGAGCGGTCAAGTCCTGTCTGACCTGCACTGTCTTCTACTGTGAGAGCCACGTCAGGCAGCACTACACCGTCCCAGCACTGCAGAGACACACCCTGGCTGAGGTCACTGGAGAAGGGGGACACAAAGACCACCATGGCAACGCTGGACAGACAGAGAGCATCAAAGAGGTGCTGTCATTCACAATACACTATTTGAATGACTACAAACACTTAACTACAAGCACTTATAACACTATTATAATGAGATGAACTGAACTGTGTGTTTCATGTTTTCTCTTAAGGAGGAGACTATGGAGACTGAGGAGGAGGAGGAGAGGGAGAACGTCTCTAAAAAGATGGAAGTTAAACAGGAGGAAGAAGATTCTGAGGGAATTTCTGATCTGAAGACCATTTCTGAGCTGAAGAAGGAGATCTCTGAACTGAAGAACATCTCTAAGTTAAACTCAAAGTTGGAGCAGGAGATCTCTAAGCTCAAACATGATGTGCTTGAGCTCAGTAAGGAGAATGCTGCGCTTAAACAAGAGGCATCATTTGAGAAAGAACTGTTTGACATGAGAACTGCTGATCTGAATAAGACCATAGCTACTCTCAGCTCAGACCTACAGCAACAGAGAGAGGCTGAGTATGTGAGAATAAACCTGAAGAATATGAAGATGGACTATGGTTAGTGTGACAATAATGACTACTTAAAGTGACAGTATATTTTTTAAGGTAGTAGTAGAATAGTAGATAGTATTATTAACAGGTTCTTATCAATTATACTGCAACACTCATGGATGTGTTATGACTGGTTTCATAAAGATGTTATAAATACCTTAAGTATACCCCCTTCAAGTAAAGTGTTACCTTTCATATTTTAGAACTTGAAACAATCAGAAAATGTTCTGGTCAGTGTATGTTACACTTCAGTTAGACTCAACAGTCCTGTGTGTTAACTCCATGTAGAGTGCTTACATTAATACAATATTACATTATTTTAGATGTCATACCATTCACAAAAATATCCAATGTCAGAGAATAATGTATTATACAGTAAAATGCAGTTCCCCAGATGTATGTTATATATCCACTGACATGTTCTCATTCTAATAAAGTGTATGTTTCTCTCCACAGTGGATGTGACTCTAGATCCTGATACAGCACATCCCAAACTCATCCTGTCTGAAGACAGGAAACAAGTTAAATGTGGAGACATAAAACAGGGTCTCCCTGACAACCCAGAAAAGTTTGATACTGTTCCTTGTGTCCTGGGAAAGGAAGGCTTCTCCTCAGGGAGATTCTACTATGAGGTTCAGGTGAAGGGGAAGACTGGGTGGATTTTAGGAGTGGTCAGAGAGTCCATCAACAGGAAGGGGGAGATTACAGTGAGCCCTGAGAATGGAAACTGGACTGTGTTGCTGAGGAATGGAGAGTACAGGGCTGCTGCTAACCCTGTTGTCCTCCTCTCCCTGAGAGAGAAGCCCCAGAAGGTAGGGGTGTTTGTGGATTATGAGGAGGGTCAGGTTTCCTTCTATAATGTGGAGGCCAGTTCTCATATCCACTCATACACTGGCTACACCTTCACTGAGAAACTCTATCCATTCTTCAGCCCTGGTAATAATTACACTGGGAAAAACTCAGCCCCACTGGTCATCACTCCTGTAGATATCACTGACTGACTGTTTTATACCAAACATTGAAGTAATGTTTACTTTTTAAATATAATTTCTTCTTATTTTTTGTACTTTTTACCCCTTTTTCTCCCCAATTTCGTGATATCCAATTGGTAGTTACAGTCTTGTCCCATCACTGCAACTCCCATATGGACTCGGGAGAGGCGAAGGTCGAGAGCCATGCGTCCTCCGAAACACGACCCTGCCAAGCCGCACTGCTTCTTGACACGCTGCTCGCTTAACTCGGAAGCCAACCGCACCAATGTGTCGGAGGAAACACCGTACAACTGGTGACCGAAGTCAGCGTGCATGCGCCCGGCCCACCACAAGGAGTCTCTAGAGCGCGATGGGACAAGGACATCCCAGCCGGCCAAACCCTCCCCTAACCCAGACGACGCTGGTCCAATTGTGCAACGCCTCAAGGGTCTTCCGGTCATGGCTGGCTGCAACACAGCCTGGGATCGAACCCGGGTCTGTAGTGAAGCCTTAGACCGCTGCGCCACGAGGCCTGATATAATGTTAATATAACTGCTATTGTAATAGCGACCAGATAATGTAATAATTAATTATAATGTAATACATATTACATAAATCAGCAGATAATGTATTAATATTTTACATTTATGATGCAATAACCTTTCCTGATAATGTAATCATTCAATTGCAGTTATTAATGCAATAACAAATATCATAAATAAGTATTGTAATCGGTTCAGCACCAAGTTATTTTGTGGATAAGGCTAAAAAAAATTAAGCGTTAACATACTAAATCACAGTTTGTTGGTGCTGGTCGTTTTCTTCATAATGTAATCCAAGAAGACCTACCTGTCCATCTAGCTCTGTGGACCATATCACCTTAGTGGACGAGATCCATCTAGCTCTGTGGACCATATCACCTTAGTGGACGAGATCCATCTAGCTCTGTGGACCATATCACCTTAGTGGACGAGATCCATCTAGCTCTGTGAACCATATCACCTTAGTGGACGAGATCCATCTAGCTCTGTGGACCATATCACCTTAGTGGACGAGATCCAAATTCTTCTTCCTGAATAACATGACATTGGGAAGAATAAAAACAGTCCAATAAATGCAACAGGAACAGTAGGTCTGTATGCATTGTTATATTTTCAGTAAACCCCTGAAATTAGATTATTACATGACTTACTATAACAATGAATTACTGTCCTGCATGATTATGTTTCTTACTATATTTTTGTTGAATACTTTTTTTTGCTGTTGAAATGCAAGGAGAGGTTGCAAGAAATCCTTTCATTGTACTTCAGTCTTGTGTATTTTATTCCTATTGTGTCACTATTTGTATAATATTATTGTTTATCTGCATCGTTGGGAAGGGCACATAAACAAGCTTTTTATTAAATGTTGTTGATAAAAAACAACTGTGCTTTATAAAGAGTGACATAATGCATGATTACTAAGTGTGTTCAGAGGTGCTGAGGGACCCGGTCTCCATTCCCTGTGGACACAGTTACTGCAGGCAGTGCATCAGCACATACTGGGCCCAGCCCGGCCCTGCAGGAGACTATGTGTGTCCCCAGTGCAGTAAGAGATCCAGAGCCCGGCCTGCGCTCTACACTAACACAGCCTTGGCCAGGGTCCTGCAGGGGCTCCAGCAGGCAGGCTTCAGTCCTGCCCTCCCTGCTCTGAGCTACGCTGGGCCTGGGGACGTGGCCTGTGATATCTGCTCTGGACAGAAGCTCAGAGCGGTCAAGTCCTGTCTGACCTGCACTGTCTCCTACTGTGAGAGCCACGTCAGGCAGCACTACACCATCCCAGCACTGCAGAGACACACCCTGGCTGAGGTCACTGGAGACGGGGGACACAAAGACCACCATGGCAACGCTGGACAGATAGAGAGCATCAAAGAGGTGCTGTCATTAACAATACACTATTTGATATGACTACAAACACTTGATTTATTTTGATAACAATGACAGTATAGCTGAACTGTGTATTTCATGTTTTCTCTTCAGGAGGGGGCTATGGAGAGTGAGCATGGTACTGAGGAAGAGAACTCTGAGCTGAAGAACATCCAGTTAAAGGAGGGGAACTCCAAACTCAAACATGACATCAAATATGAGCTGGGTAATATCAATGTTGCACTGAAACAATAGGCAGCATTTACCTGCCTCTTGATATGATACACTATATATACTAAAGTATGTGGACACCCCTTCAAATTAGCGGATTCGGCTATTTCAGCCACACCCGTTGCTGACAGGTATATAAAATCGAGCACACCGCCATGCAATCTCCATAGACAGACATTGGCAGTAGAATGACCTTACTGAAGAGCTCAGTGACTTTCAACGTGGCACGGTTATAGGATGTCACCTTTCAACAAGTCAGTTGGTCAAATTTCTGTCTGCTAGAGCTTCCCTGGTCAACTGTAAGTGAACATCTAGGAGCAACAACAGCTCAGCAGCGAAGTGGTAGGACACACAAGCTCACAGAATGGGACCGCCGAGGGCTGGAGCGCGTAAGAATCATCTGTCATCGGTTGCAACACTCACTACCGAGTTCCAAACTGCCTCTGGAAGCAACATCAGCACAATAACTCTTTGTCAGGAGCTTCATGAAATTGGTTTCCATGGCCGAGCAGCCGCACACAAGCATAAGATCCCCATGCGCAATGCCAAGCGTCGGATGGAGTGGAGTAAAGCTCGCCGCCATTGGACACTGGAGCAGTGAAAATGCGTTCTCTGGGGTGATGAATCACACTTCACCATAGCCCAGTCCGATGGATGAATCTGGGTTTGGCGGATGCCAGGAGAACGCTACCTGCCCGAATGCATAGTGCCAACTGTAAAGTTAGGTGGAGGAGGAATAATGGTCTGGGGCTGTTTTTCATGGTTCGGGCTAGGCCCCCTTGTTCCAATGAAGGGAAATCTTAATGCTACAGCAGACAATGATGATTCTGTGCTTCCAACTTCATCCCAACTTTGGCCCTTTCCTGTTTCAGCATGACAGTGCCCCCGTGCACAAAGCGAGGTCTATACAGAAATGGTTTGTTGAGATCGGTGTGGAAGAACTTGACTGGCCTGCACAGAGCACTGACCTCAACCCCATCGAACACCTTTGGGATGAATTGGAACGCCGACTGTGAGCCAGGCCTAATCGCCCAACATTAGTGCCTGACCTGGTGTCACTATTCTCTCATGTCTAACTGTTCTCTCCCTCTTTGTATGTAACTATAAAGTAATATGCAGTTCCCAACATTGATGTTATATCCTCTGATATTTTCAAATTCTAATGAATTGTATGTTTCTCTCCACAGTGGATGTGACTCTAGATCCTGATACAGCACATCCCCAACTCATCCTGTCTGAAGACAGGAAACAAGTGAGATGTGTTTCATAATTGTCCTTCAATTCGCAAGAGGCTGAATGTATCTTAGAGCCAGAGGACAACTCGCACTAATTACAATACACACACACACACACACACACACACTCGCCAACCTGCCCGTGGTGAGTGTTGTAATTAGTGAGATTTGTCCTCTGGCTCTGAGATACATCCGACAGGGGTTGCTCTCTGAGAGATACCAGGGCTGGGGAGACAGACAGGGGTTGCTCTCTGAGAGATACCAGGGCTGGGGAGACAGACAGGGGTTGCTCTCTGAGAGATACCAGGGCTGGGGAGACAGACAGGGGCTACTCAGATGGATGGTGTGTTTTCTGGCCTGCAAATTGATTTTGACGAACAAATCAGTAAAAAAAACAAAGCTATGCAGTCCTCCGCTGAATTTCGAAATCCCAAGAATCTGAAAATGTTTGCCCACTCCTGGTCTAAAGTAGAAAACTCACCAGACAGGTTGTCTGTCTGTACAGTAAGGGGCCATTTGATCACCGTTCTCTTTCTGTTGGCGCAGTGTGATATAGGGACTACCCTGCCGGTGGGCGACTGACGGACATCATTTTCGACAGTTTTTAAATGTAGAATCGGTCTGCACTGGGTTTGCTAATTATGTCCGGCACACTGTGCAGAGGTGTTAAGTACTCTCAGCAAGCAATCATACCCGTCTGTCTGTGGCTTAACATATACTCTGTTCCTATGGTCACTGTGGACTATGAGAGATGACATGCTATTTTAATCTCCACCCTTTGTAATATAATAACACGTTTTGTTCATCTCTAAATGCCTTAAAGAAAATAGCTGTCATCATAATGTAATAACATTCTAAGCAGGAGGACATTCACTGTAGATATCACACAGCAAGACTCACCATCACATCTCACTACATGTTTTGTTTTCTGCCTTTTTTTCTGTGTGCTCATCTCATTTCTCTCTCTCTCTCTCTCTCTCTCTCTCTCTCTCTCTCTCTCTCTCTCTCTCTCTCTCTCTCTCTCTCTTTCACTCTGTCCTTTTCTCTTTCTCCCCCCCGCCTAGCTCTCTCTCTCTCTTTTTCTACACCCTCTATCTATTTCTTCCCCCTCTCTCTCTCCCTCTGCCTGAAGGAGATCTCCTGCATCAGAGTACACTAGGACACACTCCGAGGCCCAGTTCCAAACCAACACTTCACTCCTACCATTATGTCCTTGGTTACTTCCATCTGCAGATCTGAGAGGGCTAGATGGGTATAAACAATATGGTGGAAAGTCAACACACCCCAACAGAGCTGAATGGAGCGTGGAGACTATAGTAGCTATCCACTCAGAACCAAAAGGAGAAGTGAAGGTGCAGCTTCCCTGGCCTATGGCCACAACCAATAGGTCCTGACCTTTATGGCACAGGAGATAGTGTGCTTAACAGCAGAGTCACTGGATCAAGCCCAGCTGTGACATTGTTCTCTTCAGCGCTACAATTGGTATCGAGGACCTAATGATAGGTAGTGTGAGATTGATTTGGGATCAGACCGAGAAAGTGCATCCAACCAATCCACTCCTGTGTGTGTGTGTGTGTGTGTGTGTGTGTGTGTGTGTGTGTGTGTGTGTGTGTGTGTGTGTGTGTGTGTGTGTGTGTGTGTGTGTGTGTGTGTGTGTGTGTGTGTGTGTGTGTGTGTGTGTGTGGTGTGTGTGTGTGTGTGTGTGTTTAACTATACTTGTGGGGACTAATTCTAACCCAACTGGGTGACATTTTGTTGGTCCCCACAAGGTGAAATGCTATTTCTAGGGGGTTTAGGGTTAAGGTTAGAATTAGTGTTAGGGTTAGGGTTAGAATTAGGTTTAGGGTTAGAATTAGGAGCTAGGGTTAGTTTTAGGGTTAGGGTTAGGAGCTAAGGTTTAGGGTTAAGGTTAAGGTTCGTTTTTGGGGTTAAGGTTGGGGTTAAGGTTAGGGTTAGGTTTAGGGTAAGGATACAGGTTAGGGTTAGGGTTAGGTTTAGGGTTAGGGGATAGGGAAAATTTGATTTTGAATGGGACTGAATTGTATGTCCCCACAAGGTTAGCTGTGCAAGACTGTGTGTGTGTTTGTGTGTGTGAGAAAAGTCTTACTGAGTTAGTGCTCAACACTGTATATTAGTGCCACCTGCTGGTGAGTAGAAGACAGCAGTATTTATCAGTCCAGTCAACCGTGTGGACTGAAGCTTTGTGGGGCTGTGCTAAATTTGTAAAATATAATACGAAAATAATATTTAAATACGTCAATATTAAGTCCTTTATAATAAGCAAACGGATTGTCAATGCTTAATTTCAATGTTTTCTTCAAAACCATCTCCAATCACAAACTTTAAAATATGGTTCAGTTTCCAGCCACTAGATGGTGACATTGTACTACAACAGTTCTACCCAGCAGTAGAGCAGTATTCAGAATTGGACCTGTCATTTTACATTTTAGTCATTTAGCAGACGCTCTTATCCAGAGCGACTTACAGTTAGGTGAGTGCATACATTTTTCATACTGCCCCCCCGTGGGAATCGAACCTACAACCCTGGCGTTGCAAGCGCCATGCTCTACCAACTGAGCTACAGGAGGTCCTGTCGTGATAGGTATTTTACTGTCAAACTGAAAGTAAAAGTAAAGTTAAACACGCCATTTTAGAGGACGCGCAGTTCGATACTCCTGTTCCAATTGTTTGCAGAGATTGGTAAATAAGATGCAATAATCTCATTTTATGTTTTATTTAATGTTTAAAAGTGTTATAGAAACAATTTGAATTATTATTTTCTTTCATGAAACACATGTGCCGTAACCACAATGTGTTAAGACGTAAGAGTGTAGGCCTAGGTTATGCAACCTGCTACGTATTTGATTGTTCTGATAAAGTTCTGTTAGAAAAATACTACTGAAATGATAATTTATGTATCCGATATGTGTAAAGTGGCTATGAATGACAGTCATATTAGAGTACATTTTGGGCTGCATTCTGTCGTTTTCAGGTGAGGAAGAGTTTCTGTATACTCACTAGGCCTTGATGTTTTGGGGAAACACATTTTTCTAATGGCGCTGCCACTTACAATAGATCTAAATAACCAGGTTTCTATCCAACCATTTCATGCTGATGAATTACCTGACGCATGAAAAAAGTCACGACTGGGCTGATAGAAACATATAGAAACAATGCCGGTACAATTTAATAAATTCAGACAGACAATTTGTTCGTTTGACATGTTGGGACCTTTTTGTGTGGGTAAAATGTATGATGCGAGAAATGGCGGTGGAAACGCCTTTATGCGCAAATATTGTAACTCAATTTCAAAGATTTTACTGAGTTACAGATAGGGATGTGGCAGTCACGAAATTTCGTGAGCAGGTGATTGTCAAGCAAGTAATTGTCGGTTTCACCGTAATTGACCGTTAATTAACATAAACACACAGGTCCAATTCCGAGGTGTATATTGAAGATATTGGAAGAACTGTCCACATTTACTTTTCATCAGCCAACAAGATGAGTAGGCTTAACAAACAGCAAAATAACTAGCCTATGTCAATCTACTATCCCCCATAGTACAAAAGTCGACCTATTATATTCTGTGCAAGAAATAAATATTCCAAACAAAGTCTGGGACAGTTGTGGGATGCGATGGATCCCAAATTAATACAACCACTAACATCAACAAAAACGTTTTTTATGCAATGTGGCTGACGCAACAGATCAGAACTTTTAGCTTAAAATGTTGATAAACTATTAGGCTATTTCTTCACATTATAAGCGCAGCAATGCGCACATGGTAGTAGGCTATAAGCACAAATGTTCCATTAGTGGAAAACACCATTATCAAAAGTGACTGTAAATGCAATTATGCATGTAATGCTTTTTTATGGTGAAAATTATCTTCCCCAAACTTGAAACTCAGGTGCTGCTTATAAACTCAGCAAAAAAAGAAACGTCCTCTTACTGTCAACTGCGTTTATTTTCAGCAAACTTAACATGTGTAAATATTTGTATGAACATAACAAGATTCAACAACTGAGACATAAACTGAACAAGTTCCACAGACATGTGACTAACAGAAATTGAATAATGTGTCCCTGAACAAAGGGGGGGGTCAAAATCAAAAGTAACAGTCAGTATCAGGTGTGGCCACCAGCTGCATTAAGTACTGCAGTGCATCTCCTCCTCAGGGACTGCACCAGATTTGCCAGTTCTTGCTGTGAGATGTTACCCCACTCTTCCACCAAGGCACCTGCAAGTTCCCGGACATTTCTGGGTGGTATGGCCCTAGCCCTCACCCTCCGATCCAACAGGTCCCAGACGTGCTCAATGGGATTGAGATCCGGGCTCTTCGCTGGCCATGGCAGAACACTGACATTCCTGTCTTGCAGGAAATCACGCACAGAACGAGCAGTATGGCTGGGGGCATTGTCATGCTGGAGGGTCATGTCAGGATGAGCCTGCAGGAAGGGTACCACATGAGGGAGGAGGATGTCTTCCCTGTAACGCACAGCGTTGAGATTGCCTGCAATGACAACAAGCTCAGTCCGATGATGCTGTGACACACCGCCCCAGACCATGACGGACCCTCCACCTCCAAATCAATCCCGCTCCAGAGTACAGGCCTCGGTGTAACGCTCATTCCTTCAACGATAAACGTGAATCCGACCATCACCCCTGGGTGAGAGAAAACCGTGACTCGTCAGTGAAGAGCACTTTTTGCCAGTCCTGTCTGGTCCAGCGACGGTGGGTTTATGCCCATAGGCGACGTTGTTTCCGGTGATGTCTGGTGAGGACCTGCCTTACAACAGGCCTACAAGCCCTCAGTCCAGCCTCTCTCAGCCTATTGCGGACAGTCTGAGCACTGATGGAGGTATTGTGCGTTCCTGGTGTAACTTGGGCAGTTGTTGTTGCCATCCTGTACCTGTCCCGCAGGTGTGATGTTCGGATGTACCAATCCTGTGCAGGTGTTGTTACACGTGGTCTGCCACTGCGAGGATGATCAGCTGTCCGTCCTGTCTCCCTGTAGCGCTGTCTTAGGCGTCTCACAGTACGAACATTGCAATTTATTGCCCTGGCCACATCTGCAGTCCTCATGCCTCCTTGCAGCATGCCTAAGGCACGTTCATGCAGATGAGCAGGGACCCTGAGCATCTTTCTTTTGGTGTTTTACAGAGTCAGTAGAAAGGCCTCTTTAGTGACCTAAGTTTTCATAACTGTGACCTTAATTGCCTACCGTCTGTAAGCTGTTAGTGTCTTAACGACCGTTCCACAGGTGCATGTTCATTAATTGTTTATGGTTAATTGAACAAGCATGGGAAACAGTGTTTAAACCCTTTACAATGAAGATCTGTGAAGTTATTTAGATTTTTACGAATTATCTTTGAAAGACAGGGTCCTGAAAAAGGGACGTTTCTTTTTTGCTGAGTTTATATGCCAGTTATGCTCTACACCCCTTGTAAAGCAGATGAATGTGCTTAATTTTAAGAAATTATTAGGCCACTTTAGTTGTGATACAAACCTTAATAAAACATATAGGCCTATGGGCTAGGCTACATGAGGTGTGCGACTATGGTTAGAAAAAGTTGCAAAAAAAAAGGGTTTGTTTCTTATGCTGGGCATCATTCACAAGTGATAATATATAATTCACAAGTGATAGGCTAATATTGTCACCCATCAGACTATTCTTGATTTATCTTGTCTTTACATATACTAAATTATATGTGTGACATTTGTTTTGATTTAGAATGGACCATTATCATGCACCCATATCGAAACAGGGGCAGCGGGGGAAAATGTCATCTATGTACTTAAATAGGCAATGGAGGACGCAACAGGCTATACTCCTGTTGTAAATATAAGCAATGTGCTTAATATTAGGAACGTTTAGGATCCTCCTCTTTTTATTAGCGGCCATCACTCTGTTTTCTCCCGCGGTTGCCTAGCCTACAGAAATGTTGTGCAACATGAGCTCATGGGCTCTCATGAAGTGTTTTGAATAGATTTTCAAAAACATTTGCATTGATGTCAGAGTGATTAGAGGGACAATAGAGTGCTGAGTACCAGGCAGTTAGCAAGTTTGGTAGGCTACTAATGACCATCAGCAGCATCAGAGCTTGGAGAAGCCTAATTACCGTGACTAAACGGTCATACGGAATATGACTACCTTCATGCCTCGTGACCGCCGGTGTGGCGGTAATACGGTCACAGCAACAGCCCTAGTTACAGATCATATAAGGAAATCAGTCCATTGAAATTCATTAGGCCCTAATCTATGGATTTCACATGACTGGGCAGGGGCATAGGCCCATCCACTTGGCAGCCAGGCCCACCCACTGAGGAGCCAGGCCCACCCACTGAGGAGCCAGGCCCAGCCAATCAGAATGAGTTTTTCCCCACAAAAAGGCTTTATTACAGACAGAAATACTCATTTTTACATTTTAGTCATTTAGCAGACGCTCTTATCCAGAGCGACTTACAGTTAGTGAGTGCATACATAATATATATATATATATATATATTATTTTTTTTTCATACTCCTCAGTGTTGTGTGACAAAACTGCACATTTTAAAGTGGCCTTTTATTGTCCCCAGCACAAGGAGCACCTGTGTAATGATCATGCTGTTTAATCAGCTTCTTGATATGCCACACCTGTCAGGTGGATGGATTATCTTGGCAAATGAGAAATGCTCACTAACAAGGCTGTAAACAAATTTGGGCACAACATTTGAGAGACATAAGCTTTGTGTGCGTATGGAACATTTCTGGGATTTATTATTTCAGCTCATGTTGCGTTTATAATAATAACATAATGTTGGTAGCCTACCCGCACTGTAGGTCTCTTTCTGCGAGCAGTTTTCTAGAGCGCACGTTCCAAGACCAGAGTGGGCACATTTGCCATATCTCCTAAGACCCTAAAAAAATTTGGGTGGTATTTTGTATAACATTTTTACATAACATACTGTACCAGTCAAAAGTTTGGACACACCTACTCATTCAAGGGTTTTTCTTTATTTTTACTATTTCCTACATTGTAGAATAATAGTGAAGACATCAAAACTATGAAATAACACAATGGAATCATGTAGTAACCAAAAAAGTGTTAAACAAATCAAAATATTTTTTATATTTGAGATTTTTCAAAAAGCCTTGATAACAGCTTTGCACATTCTTGGTTTCTCTCAACCAGCTTCACCTGGAATGCTTTTCCAACAGTCTCTATAAAGAGTTCCCACATATGCTTAACATTTGTTGGCTGCATTTCCTTCACACTGCCATCCGACTCATCCCAAACCATCTCAATTGGGTTGAGGTCGGGGGATTGTGGAGGCCAGGTCATCTGATGCAGCACTCCATCACTCTCCTTCTTGGTAAAATAGCCCTTACACATCCTGGATGTGTGTTGGGTCATTGTCCTGTTGAAAAACAAATGATAGTCCCACTAAGCCCAAACCAGATGTGAGGCGTATCGCTGCAGAATGCTGTGGTAGCCATGCTGGTTAAGTGTGCCTTGAATTCTGAAAAAAATCACAGACAGTGTCACCAGCAAAGTACCCCCACACCATAACACCTCCTCCTCCATGCTTTAGGGTGGGAACTATACATGTGGAGATCATCCGTTCACCCACACCACATCTCACAAAGACATGGCGGTTGGAACCAAAAATCTCCAATTTGGACTCCAGACCAAAGGACACATTTCCACTGGTCTAATGTTCATTGCTCGTGTTTCTTGGCCCAAGCAAGTCTTGTCTTCTTATTGGTGACCTTTAGTAGTGGTTTCTTTGCAGCAATTCGACCATGAAGGCCTGATTCACTCCGTCTCCTCTGAACAGTTGATGTTGAGATGTGTCTGTTACTTGAACTCTGTGAAGCATTTATTTGGGCTGCAATCTGAGGTGCAGTTAACTCTAATGAACTTATCGTCTGCAGCAGAGGTAACTCTGGGTCTTTCTTTCCTGTGGCGGTCCTCATGAGTGCCAGTTTCATCATAGCGCTTGATGGTTTTTGCGACTGCACTTGAAGAAACTTTCAAAGTTCTTGACATTTTCCGGATTGACTGACCTTCATGTCTTAAAGTAATGATGGACTGTCGTTTCTCTTAGCTTATTTGAGCTGTTCTTGACATAATATGGCCTTGGTCTTTTACCAAATAGGGCTATCTTCTGTATACCCCCCTACCTTGTCACAACACAACTGATTGGCTCAAACGCATGAAGAAGGAAATAAATTCTACAAATTAACTTTTAACTTTAAGGCACACATGTTAATTGAAATATATTCCAGGTGACTACCTCATGAAGCTGGTTGAGAGAATGCCAAGAGTGTGCAAAGCTGTCATCTAGGCAAAGGGTGACTACTTTGAAGAATCTCAAATATAAAATATATATTGATTTGTTTAACACTTCTTTGGTTACTACATGATTCCATATGTGTTATTTCATAGTTTTGATGTCTTCACTATTATTCTACAATGTAGAAAATAGTACAAATAAAGAAAAACCCTTGAATGAGTAGGTGTGTCCAAACTTTTGACTGGTACTGCAAGTAATCAGACCCTATAATCAGCATTTTGTTGAAGCACTTTTGGCAGCGATTACAGCCTCTAGTCTTCTTGGGTATGACACTACAAGCTTGGCACACCTGTATTTGGGGAGTTTCTCCCATTCTTCTCTGCAAATCCTCTCATCCTCTGTTTGGTTGGATGGGGAGCGTTGCTGCACAGCTATTTTCAGTTCTCTCCAGAGATGTTAGATCAGGTTCAAGGGCATTCAGAGACTTGTCCTGAAGCCACTCCTGCGTTGTCTTGGCTGTGTGCTTAGGGTCGTTGTCCTGTTGGAAGGTGAACCTTTGCCCCAGTTTGAGGTCCTGAGCGCTCTGGAGCAGGTTTTCATCATGGATCTCTCTGTTCTCTTTGCTATGTTCATCTTTCCCTCGACTATAACTAGTCTCCCTGTCCCTGCCGCTGAAAAACATCCCCACAGCATGATGCTGCAACCACTATGCTTCACCGTAGGGATGGTGCCAGATTTCCTCCAGACGTGACGCTTGGCATTCAGGCCAAAGAGTTCAATCTTGGTTTCATCAGACCAGAGAATCTTGTTTCTCATAGTCTGAGAGTCCTTTATGTGCCTTTTGGCAAACTCCAAGCGGGCTGTCATGTGCCTTTTACTGATGAGTGGCTTCCGTCTGGCCACTCTATCATAAAGGCCTGATTGGTGGAGTCCTGCAGAGATGGTGGTCCTAGGAAGAGTCTTGGTGGTTCCAAACTTCTTCCATTTAATAATGCTGAAAGCCACTGTTCTTGGGGACTTTCAATGCTGCAGAAATGGTTTGGTACCCTTACCTAGATCTGTGCCTCGTCTCTGAGCTCTAAGGACAATTCCTTCGACCACATGGCTTGGTTTTTGCGCTGACATGCACTGTCAACTGTGGGACCTTATATAGACAGGTGTGTGCCTTTCCAAATAATGTCCAATCAATTGAATTTACCACAGGTGGACTCCAATCAAGTTGTAGAAACATCTCAAGGATGATCAATGGAAACAGGATGCACCTGAGCTCAATTTCGAGACACATAGCAAAGTTAATTTTTATTTTTAATACATTTGCACACATTTCTAAAAACCTGTTTTCGCTTTGTCATTATGGGCTATTGTGTGTAGATTGATGAGGAGGGAAAAAACGATTTAATCAATTTTAGAATAAGGCTGTAACGTAACAAAATGTGGAAAAAGTAAAGGGGTCTGAATACTTTCCGAATGCACTGTATCTTTATAAGTAAAGGAATATAAAACAATGATATTATTGAAAGTATTTTTTTTTTACTTTAGCTTTGAGCAGCCAGCCAGCTTCTACATACAGCCTCTGCCTGTTTGACAATGGGTTCTCTTTTGCAGAGAGGTTGAAAACATGAACACTCAATATCCCTACAACAGATGATTTATGTGATCAGGTAAGAAGGCAGGGTCCCTTTTTAAACTAACTACAACTTACAGTATAAAGACTTTATCTAACATACATAAAGTATTAAAGCACTACATAGATGATTCACAAGTAATCGATGAGCTTATGTCATACTCTATAAAGGGTGACATAACAGCTCACTATAGGGTCCATTACCAAACGTGGCATAACATAAAAACAACTGTACTTTATAAAGGGTGACATAATGCATGATTACTAAGATGCAATGCTGTGTGAAACTACTTCTAGATATAGACTTATATTCTACTCTATATATAGCCATAAATGTTTGTTTACTGGCTAGGTTTTCAGAGTGAGAGATCTGTCTGAGCAGTCCAGATTCTGAAGAGACATTAGACTGTATGGAGCCTGAGGAAGACCCTGAAGTCATGAGCAGGAGGTGAGTCAGAGAGAGAGGCTGTCTGAGGGATAAACACTAACCAAGGTTCAGTTTCACTCTGATAAATACTCTACAGGACAAACTACATACAAATCATATATACAAACCACCTTTCTGTCTAAGATATTGACTTTATGAGAAGAACATATGAATGCCTATTTTATTTAGTGTCAAACAGGAGAGAGTGGAGTCTCCTGCTCCCAGCTGTCTGTCTATGAAGAGTGACAGGTCAAAGGGCCAAGACATCAACTTCAGTGGAGGAGCCTGTCCCCCTGATGCAAGGTGAGAGGGTTGATACATTTGATTAATTTGATTTATTGATAAAGGCCTGTCCAGAGAGATTGCAGCTAGATATACAGGATCTCACAAAAGTAAGTACACCCCTCACATTTTTGTAAATATTTCAGTATATATTTTCATGTGACAACACTGAAGAAATGACACGTTGCTACAATGTAAAGTAGTGAGTGTACAGCTTGTATAACAGTGTAAATTTGCTGTCCCCTCAAAATAACACAACACACAGCCATTAATGTCTAAACCGCTGGCAACAAAAGTGAGTACACCCCTAAGTGAAAATGTCCAAATTGGGCCCAAAGTGTCAATATTTTGTGTGGCCACCATCATTTTCCAGCACTGCCTTAACCCTCTTGGGCATGGAGTTCACCAGAGCTTCACAGGTTGCCACTGGAGTCCTCTTCCACTCCTCCATGATGACATCACAGAGCTGGTGGATGTTAGAGACCTTGCACTCCTCCACCTTCCGTTTGAGGATGCCCCACAGATGCTCAATAGGGTTTAGGTCTGGAGACATGCTTGGCCAGTCCATCACCTTTACCCTCAGCTTCTGGTGGTCCTCTGTAGCTCAACTGGTAGAGCACGGCGCTTGTAACGCCAAGGTAGTGGGTTCGATCCCCTGGACCACCCATACACAAAAAATGTATGCACGCATGACTGTAAGTCGCTTTGGATAAAAGCGTCTGCTAAATGGCATATTATATATTATATATTATTATATATTATATTAGCAAGACAGTGGTCGTCTTGGAGGTGTGTTTGGGGTCGTTATCATGTTGGAATACTGCCCTGCAGCTCAGTCTCCGAAGGGAGAGGATCATGCTCTGCTTCAGTATGTCACAGTACATGTTGGCATTCATGGTTCCCTCAATGAACTGTAGCTCCCCAGTGCTGGCAGCACTCATGCAACCCCAGACCATGACACTCCCACCACCATGTTTGACTGTAGGCAAGACACACTTGTCTTTGTACTCCTCACCTGGTCGCCGCCACACACGCTTGACACCATCTGAACCAAATAAGTTTATCTTGGTCTCATCAGACCACAGGACATGGTTCCAGTAATCCATGTCCTTAGTCTGCTTGTCTTCAGCAAACTGTTTGCGGGCTTTCTTGTGCATCATCTTTAGAAGAGGCTTCCTTCTGGGCCGACAGCCATGCAGACTAATTTGATGCAGTGTGCGGCGTATGGTCTGAGCACTGACAGGCTGACCCCCCACCCCTTCAACCTCTGCAGCAATGCTGGCAGCACTCATACGTCTATTTCCCAAAGACAACCTCTGGATATGACGCTGAGCACGTGCACTCAACTTCTTTGGTCGACCATGGCGAGGCCTGTTCTGAGTGGAACCTGTCCTGTTAAACCGCTGTATGGTCTTGGCCACCGTATTGCAGCTCAGTTTCAGGGTCTTGGCAATCTTCTTATAGCCCATCTTTATGTAGAGCAACAATTCTTTTTTTCAGATCCTCAGAGTTCTTTGCCATGAGGTGCCATGTTGAACGTCCAGTGACCAGTATGAGGGAGTGTTAGAGCGATGACACCAAATTTAACACACCTGCTCCCCATTCACACCTGAGACCTTGTAACACTAACAAGTCACATGACACCGGGGAGGGGAAATGGCTAATTGAGGCCAATTTGGACATTTTCACTTAGGGGTGTACTTACTTTTGTTGCCAGCGGTTTAGACATTAATGGCTGTGTGTTGTGTTATTTTGATGGGACAGCAACTTTACACTGTTATACTTTACATTGTAGCAAAGTGTCATTTCTTCAGTGTTGTCACATGAAAAGATATACTGAAATATTTACAAAAATGTGAGGGGTGTACTCACTACTTTACATTGTAGCAAAGTGTCATTTCTTCAGTGTTGTCACATGAAAAGATATACTGAAATATTTACAAAAATGTGAGGGGTGTACTCACTTTTGTGAGATACTGTATATTTCTGTATGAATTGCAGGACTAATCAGGAGAGAGTGGAGTTTGATCTAAGGTATATCGGCTGCTTTAGAAGACTGCAGACTGGTAGAGTTTAGGAGGAAGGCCATGTACTAACCCCACCCCCTCTCTTTCTCAGTGCCAGTCTGCTGACTGAGGATCAGTTCAAATGCTCTGTGTGTTCAGAGGTGCTGATGGACCTGGTCTCCATTCCCTGTGGACACAGTTACTGCAGGCAGTGCATCAGCACATACTGGGCCCAGCCCGGCCCTCCAGGAGACTATGTGTGTCCCCAGTGCAGTAAGAGATCCAGAGCCCGGCCTGTGCTCATCACTAACACAGCCTTGGTCATGGTCCTCAAGAGGCTCAAGCAGGCAGGCTTCAGTCCTGCCCTCCCTGCTCTGGGCTACGCTGGGCCTGGGGACGTGGCCTGTGATATCTGCTCTGGACAGAAGCTCAGAGCGGTCAAGTCCTGTCTGACCTGCACTGTCTCCTACTGTGAGAGCCACGTCAGGCAGCACTACACCATCCCAGCACTGCAGAGACACACCCTGGCTGAGGTCACTGGAGACGGGGGACACAAAGACCACCATGGCAACGCTGGACAGACAGAGAGCATCAAAGAGGTGCTGTCATTCACAATACACTATTTGAATGACTACAAACACTTAACTATCGGACCACCATTTTATTACGTTTGCAATCGCAACAAATAATCTGCTCAGACCCCAACCAAGGAGCATCAAAAGTCGTGCTATAAATTCTCAGACAACACAAAAATTCATTGATGCCCTTCCAGACTCCTTCTGCCTACCCAAGGACGTCAGAGGACAAAAATCAGTTAACCACTTAACTGAGGAACTCAATTTAACCTTGCGCAATACCCTAGATGCAGTTGCACCCCTAAAAACGAAAAACATTTGTCATAAGAAACTAGCTCCCTGGTATACAGAAAATACCCGAGCTTTGAAGCAAGCTTCCAGGAAATTGGAACGGAAATGGCGCCACACCAAACTGGAAGTCTTCCGACTAGCTTGGAAAGACAGTACCGTGCAGTACCGAAGAGCCCTCACTGCTGCTCGATCATCCTACTTTTCCAACTTAATCGAGGAAAATAAGAACAATCCAAAATTTCTTTTTGATACTGTTGCAAAGCTAACTAAAAAGCAGCATTCCCCAAGAGAGGATGGCTTTCACTTCAGCAGTGATAAATTCATGAACTTCTTTGAGGAAAAGATCATGACCATTAGAAAGCAAATTACGGACTCCTCTTTGAATCTGCGTATTCCTCCAGGGCTTAGCTGTCCTGGATCTGCACAGCTCTGCGAGGGCCTGGGATCGGGAGAGACACTTAAGTGTTTTAGTACTATATCTCTTGACACAATGATGAAAATAATCATGGCCTCTAAACCTTCAAGCTGCATACTGGATCCTATTCCTACTAAACTGCTGAAGGAGCTGCTTCCTGTGCTTGGCCCTCCTATGTTGAACATAATAAACAGCTCTCTATCCACCGGATGTGTACCAAACTCACTAAAAGTGGCAGTGATAAAGCCTCTCTTGAAAAAGCCAAACCTTGACCCGGAAAATATAAAAAACTATCGGCCTATATCGAATCTTCCATTCCTCTCAAAAATTTTAGAAAAAGCTGTTGCGCAGCAACTCACTGCCTTTCTGAAGACAAACAATGTATACGAAATGCTTCAGTCTGGTTTTAGACCCCATCATAGCACTGAGACTGCACTTGTGAAGGTGGTAAATGACCTTTTAATGGCGTCAGACCGAGGCTCTGCATCTGTCCTCGTGCTACTAGACCTTAGTGCTGCCTTTGACACCATCGATCACCACATTCTTTTGGAGAGACTGGAAACCCAAATTGGTCTACACGGACAAGTTCTGGCCTGGTTTAGATCCTACCTGTCGGAAAGATATCAGTTTGTCTCTGTGAATGGTCTGTCCTCCGACAAATCAACTGTACATTTCGGTGTTCCTCAAGGTTCCGTTTTAGGACCACTATTGTTTTCACTATATATTTTACCTCTTGGGGATGTTATTCGAAAACATAATGTTAACTTTCACTGCTATGCGGATGACACACAGCTGTACATTTCAATGAAGCATGGTGAAGCCCCAAAATTGCCCTCGCTAGAAGCCTGTGTTTCAGACATAAGGAAGTGGATGGCTGAAAACTTTTTACTTTTAAACTCGGACAAAACAGAGATGCTTGTTCTAGGTCCCAAGAAACAAAGAGATCTTCTGTTAAATCTGACAATTCATCTTGATGGTTGTAAAGTCGTCTCAAATAAAACTGTGAAGGACCTAGGCGTTACTCTTGACCCTGATCTCTCTTTTGACGAACATATCAAGACTGTTTCAAGGACAGCTTTTTTCCATCTACGTAACATTGCAAAAATCAGAAATTTTCTGTCCAAAAATGATGCAGAAAAATTAATCCATGCATTTGTTACTTCTAGGTTAGACTACTGCAATGCTCTATTTTCCGGCTACCCGGATAAAGCACTAAATAAACTTCAGTTAGTGCTAAATACGGCTGCTAGAATCCTGACTAGAACCAAGAAATTTGATCATATTACTCCAGTGCTAGCTTCCCTACACTGGCTTCCTGTTAAGGCAAGGGCTGATTTCAAGGTTTTACTGTTAACCTATAAAGCGTTACATGGGCTTGCTCCTACCTATCTTTCCGAGTTGGTCCTGCCGTACATACCAATACGTACGCTACGGTCACAAGACGCAGGCCTCCTAATTGTCCCTAGAATTTCTAAGCAAACAGCGGGAGGCAGGGCTTTCTCCTATAGATCTCCATTTTTATGGAACAGTCTGCCTACCCATGTGAGAGACGCAGACTCAGTCTCAACCTTTAAGTCTTTACTGAAGACTTATCTCTTCAGTAGGTCATATGATTGAGTGTAGTCTGGCCCAGGAGTGTGAAGGTGAACGGAAAGGCTGGAGCAACGAACAGCCCTTGCTGTCTCTGCCGGGCCGGTTCCCCTCTCCACTGGGGTTCTCTGCCTCTAACCCTGTTGCAGGGGCTGAGTCACTGGCTTGCTGGTGCTCTTTCATGCCGTCCCTGGGAGGGGTGCGTCACTTGAGTGGGTTGAGTTACTGACGTGATCTTCCTGTCTGGGTTGGCGCCCCCCCCCTTGGTTTGTGCTGTGGTGGAGACCTCTGTGGGCTATACTCGGCCTTGTCTCAGGATTGTAAGTTGGTGGTTGGGGATATCCCTCTAGTGGTGCGGGGGCTGTGCTTTGGCGGAGTGGGTGGGGTTATATCCTTCCTGTTTGGCCCTGTCCGGGGGGTTTCTTCGGATGGGGCCACAGTGTCTCCGGACCGCTCCTGTCTCAGCCTCCAGTATTTATGCTGCAGTAGTTTATGTGTCGGGGGGCTGGGGTTAGTTGGTTATACCTGGAGTACTTCTCCTGTCTTATCCAGTGTCCTGTGTGAATTTAAGTATGCTCTCTCTAATTCTCTCGTTCTCTCTTTCTCTCCGAGAACCTGAGCCCTAGGACCATACGTCAGGACTACCGGGCATGATGACACCTTGCTGTCCCCAGTCCGCCTGGCCTTGCTGCTATTCCAGTTTCAACTGTTCTGCCTGCGGCTACGAAACCCCTACCTGTCCCAGACCTGCTGTTTTCAACTCTTAATGATCGGCTATGAAAAGCCAACTGAGAGACCTGAGCCCTAGGACCATACGTCGGGACTACCGGCCGTGGTGACTCCTTGCTGTCCCCAGTCCGCCTGGCCTTGCTGCTATTCCAGTTTAAACTGTTCTGCCTGCGGTTATGGAACCCCTACCTGTCCCAGACCTGCTGTTTTCAAACTCTTAATGATCGGCTATGAAAAGCCAACTGAGATTTATTCCTGATTATTATTTGACCATGCTTGTCACTTATGAACATTTTTGAACATCTTGGCATGGTTCTGTTATAATCTCCACCCGGCACAGCCAGAAGAGGACTGGCCACCCCTCATAGCCTGGTTCCTCTCTAGGTTTCTTCCTAGGTTTTTCGCCTTTCTAGGGAGTTTTTCCTAGCCACCGTGCTTCTACACCTGCATTACTAGCTGTTTGGGGTTTTAGGCTGGGTTTCTGTACAGCACTTCGAGATATTAGCTGATGTAAGAAGGGCTATATAAAATAAAATTGATTGATTGATTGAACTACAAGCACTTATAACACTATTATAATGAGATGAACTGACCTGTGAACGTATTATATTACCTGAACTGTGTGTTTCATGTTTTCTCTTAATTAGGAGACTGAGACTGAGGAGGAGGAGAGGGAGAACGTCTCTAAAAAGAGGAAGATAATAGAAGTTCAAGAGGAGGAAGAAGATTCTTATCGGAAGATTTCTGATCTGAAGAATACAATCAGTGAGCTGAAGAAGGAGAACTCTGAGCTGAAGAACTTGGAGCAGGAGAACTGTAAACTCAAACATGATTTTCGTGAGCTCAGTATAAAAAATGCAGCGCTAAAACAAGAGGCATCATTTGAGAAAGAACTGATGGACATCAGAACTGCTGCTCTGAAGAAGATGATAGCTACTCTCAGCTTAGACCCACAGCAACAGAGAGAGGCTGAGTATGTGAGAAGAAACCTGAAGAATATGAAGATGGACTATGGTTAGTGTGACAATAATGACTGCTTAAATTGACAGTTTATATTTTTTAAGGTAGTAGTAGAATAGTAGATAGTATTGTTAACAGGTTCTTATCAATTATACTGCAGCACTCATGGAGGTGTTATGACTGGTTTCATAAAGATGTTATAAATACCTTAAGTATACCCCCTTCAAGTAAAGTGTTACCTTTCATATTTTAGAACTTGAAACAATCAGAAATGTTCTGGTCAGTGTAGTTACACTTCGTTGAGGGATTTTATTACCCGTCTGTGTGTTACCTCAGTTAGACTCAACAG